ACCAACTCCAAGCCTGCCACATCCATCTCGCTTTTGCCTCTCAGCTTGCTGTCCAGTGCGACTGTCTACGCGCCCACCATTCTGCACAGGCCTCTTTTGTGGGCCGGGTGGAATGGTGTCAGTCTTCTTCAACGGAGCTGTCTCAGCCCCCTAACTTTGAAGCCAAGGAGGTGGGGGCCACTGCTTCGCTCGTCCTGCTTTCCCCCCTAGTCTGAACAACCGTCACTCTCTCTTCCATCATCCGCCGCATCGTTCTAAACTTCGTCGTTGAACCTCGACAAGATACGCCTGTTTACGAAGTCAACTCAGCACGCCATGGCGAACCAACACACAGCGGCCAACCACGTCGAGGGTGACAGCTCGGGCAGCGAGGACTTCGAGGTTGTAGGGCACGAGGTTCTAACGGACGACAGCACCCACCAGAATGACTCCACTCTAGTTGGGACGGAGAGTCAAGGGCCTTCCGTTGACGAGCGCAAGGTTGACGAGCATTGCGACGTCGCGGACGCCGGCAAAACCCTGGGCAACGACGGGTTCCGTGCTCAACTTCGAGCCGTTACTCAAAGTGGCCTTGCGCAACGCGACGCCACCGGGCCCGTGCTTTGCCAAGCCGTGCAACTGCTCGAGCCGGCCACCTGTGCAGTAGGCCATGCCATACGGCTGCGTCTTGAGCTCGACGACCTGGCTCACGCCGGCGTGCGGTCGTTTTCCGACCACCTCTTCCGCGGCCCAGAGCGCACTTTTGTAAAGGTGTTTGAGATGGCGCTCGAGGCGGTGCGACGACACCTCTACCCGCGCGACAAGGCGGCGTTGCTCAAGATTTGCGGTGCGCTGCGCCCCAACACGGAAGGCAAGACGTCGATGGTCGAGAGAGAGGTCCGCAGCGTTGTCCTGGTCGTTCGGGGCATGGACGGTGTGGCGTATACGACCGGGTCCAGGCACGACGATGCACACAAGCAGATCCACCTCAGCGCCGATTACGTCGAATCGCTCATGCATAGGTGGGCCGATGAGGACGAAGGAGGAGAGGAAAGGCCGGCTAGGAGCGCCGAGGTGCCCAAGCAGCAGCAGGATCGGCAGCAACAGCGGAGCCGAATGCGTCATGAGCAGAAAGTGGTTGCGAAGACGACCGTGGCACCTGCAACCAGATCCGCCCTTCTGTCGCCTTCCAGCCGCGACGACGCTCCTCGCATCGTCACCGCTGGGGACCATCGACCGGACAAGGACCGCACGGGCGGTCGAGATCGACGACGCCGGCGCACCGGCGGGCTGCGCAATGTGGAGTTTGAGGTGCGCGGCGTGTTGGTGCACGAGCTGGTCCACACCGTCCAGTTTGACGGCGACGGTACCGCGCCGGGAGGACTTATCGAGGGCATCGCCGATTGGATCCGCCTCAAGGCCGGCTTCGCCCCTTCCCACTGGAAGCGCGGCGTCATCGGAGACTCTTGGGATGCCGGATACGAAAGGACGGCCTTCTTTCTCGACTTTGCATCCTCCTTCGTCGGGATGAGGTTCCTTGTGCCGCACCTCAACCAGGCCCTCGCATGGCACCGCTGGATTGTCGACGACGACGACGTCAAGACCGCGCTGAAGCATCGACGGCTGCGCCGCTGCGGAAACGGAGAAGAGGACGGTCGGGACGGCGACGACGAAGAGGAGCCATTCACCCTCTTCGAGTGCCTGACGGGCTACAGCATCGCAGAGGTCTGGAGGGCCTATGAGAACTCCGTCGAAAGGTAGACGGACGGGTCTCAACGAGGCTGTACACAGTCGAGCGAAGGCCCGGCACACGACGATGTCGTTCATCTGAATGCGGAGTGCCATTTTCTTACGGGCATCAGCCGGACGGCGGCCTTAGAGCTTCGACTTTTGAGCAAATTGGACCGCCTCACCCCGGATCAGTCGACCGACGCCGTCGCGGTACCCCTTCATGGCCCCATTCTGCTCCCTGCCGCCATCCTCGCCCGACTGGTTGAGCGGCTCCCTCTTCATCCATTCGATCATCCTTTCGTACGCTCTACCGTCGCTCGACCCGAGCGGAGAGCAGAGGTACCAATCGTCCATGTCGAAGGCCTCGACCAGTCCGACGGCGTCACGCCTGATCGGACCAGACATCAAAGTGGCCGCGATTGCCCGACAAGTCTGAACCTGCGCCGGCGTCAGGATGTCGTACTCGAGGAGATCGACTAGCCCCGAAGGGGAGAGGAGGCAGTTCTGCAGCAGGTAGAACACGAGCACGTCTTCGAGCGCCGTCCGGTGCGCCTGGGTGATGGTCGCGCCGTACTGCGACGAGAGGTTGTGCAGGTGCTGCGAGACGAGCCGGTTGGTCAAGAGGTAGAACGAGTGGCTGATCAAGTAGGCGGCGTGGGCGAGCGAGGCGCGTGTCGACAGGTCAGTCAGCATGTGCGACTTCGCGCCATCGCCGCTGCGACCTTTCGAAAGCGCGGGGATTGTGCTGCTTCGCAGCTTGTCGAGCTCGGAGACGAGCTTGGCGGCACGGCACCCGAGAATGTCGAGGAGCTTTTCGGGCGTCGAAAGGTCAATCTCGTCATACTGCCGGCCTCGCTGCAGCGCGCGGTCCAGCTTGTCCTCGACGACGAGGTCGAGGTAGACGAGCTCTGGCATGCGCGTTCCCGTTCCGGCCTTGCGCGCCTCGGCGAGCTGCTTGACGAGGAAGTTGGCGGCCGGGCCGGCGAGCAGCATCGAGTTCTCGCCCTCGTAAATGAGCCCGGCGTTGGGCTGGTTGCGCTCAAAGTCGAAGCCCGAGGCTTGGCTGAAACCGTGTCCGCCCATCGACCGGCGGCAGCGCTCGATTGCGGCGAGCGACTCGTTGGTAACGGCGGCCTTGAGCACGCTCGAGTAGCCGTGGACGATGGGCAGCAGCGGCGAGGATCCCTTGGCCTCGAGCTCAGACATCATGCGCTCGTAGATGCCGCGCAGGTGCTGCGAAGCAAAGGTGAGGGCGTAGGCCGATGCGACGGCGGTCAAGACGCGCTGCTGGACGCCCGAGTAGTCTAGAATCTTGGGCTCCAGCTGCGAGCCGGGCGTGCTCGAGGAGCCTTGGCGCCGGACGACGGCGTAGCGCACAGCGATGGTGCAGGCGCGGGCGAGGTGGTGCGACGCGATCTCGCACAGGCCGACGCGTACCAATGTCATGGTGCCTCGGGTCAGGGTCTTTGCCTGGGCGTTGCGCGGCTCGTACTTGCCCTCCCGAGACACGGTCTGGAAGCGCGAGAGGAGGTTTGTGCGCGGTACGCGGACCGAGTCGAAGCAGACGTAGCCGTTGTCCATGGCCGGCGCGCCCTGCTTGGGGCCCATGTCGATGGCCTGCCTTCCCGGGAGCAGCGTGTGGTCCTCGAGGGAGCGGAGGGGGACGAGGAGCGGGTGCATCCCGTAGGGCTTGCCTGCAATGACGAGGTTGGCCATGACGACGCCGTGGGTGGCGGTGAGGCCGCTGCCTCCGATCCACGTCTTGCCCGCCGAGGGTTCGGGCGTATGGATGACCCACTCGTCGGTGGCGGTGTCGAGGGTGGCGGTGGTGCGGAGGGCCGAGAGGTTGGAGCCGTGGGCGAGTTCTGTCTGCATGTAGCAGCCGAGCCACCTTCCGCTTCGGACCATGGGCCCCCATTCTTGCCACTGCTGCTCGCTGGCCTGTCGCATGAGGGTGGGCTGGAACATGCTCTCGCTGACCTGTACGGGGAGGTACTCGTCGGTGAGGAGGCGGAGGGCGTCTGCATCCTTTTTGTCGAGGCCGTGGCGGTTGCGGATCTCAAAGTAGCGGAGGGCGACCTTTTGGCCGTTGAAGAAGCGGGCGTTGCGCGACTGAAAGACGCGGCGCTCCTTGTCAAACGTCTTGTCCGGGTCGTCCTTGAGGAGCGAGAGGAGCCATCTCGCGTGGTCGCGGTGCTGGCGTCCGCCGGGGACGAGGCAGGAGAGGGCGTCGATGGAAAATGAGCACTGCTGGCGCTCCTGGGCGAGGTCCTTGGGTTGGAGCGACTCGGGGGTCGGGCGGGAGTTGACGGCGCTCATGGTGTTGCAGGAAGGCGGGGGACCGAAGGCGCAGAGGGCGATGGCGAGGCACGCTGCAGAGGGCAGTCGAGGGGCGACAAGACGTCAGAGAACAACAGCGTTCATTCAAAGGGCGAGCGGGGGAAGAGGTTGAGCAGGAAGGGCGAGCAAGAGATGGAGGGAAGAGGTAGAAGTAGGCAGCGCGAGAAGCCACCAGCCGGTGTGGGGCACGCCGCCGGCCGGCCGCTTGGCTTTGCCGACTTGCCGGAGGCCACGCTTGCCGGGTCGCAAGTGGCCGACTTGGGCGGCGGCGACGGCGGCGGTGCACCACGCCTGGCCGCCCTTTTTTTGTGTGCTTGCTGCTGGTGGCTGGCCCGCACAATAGGTACGTCGGCCCCCAGGTTTTCTGCGCGGCCCAAGCAAGCCTGATGGGCTGCTGCTGCCTGCACCTGCATTGGGCTGGACCCTGCTTGGAGAGATGACCTGTCTGCCTAGCCCGCGCCTGTCTGCCTCGCCCGCGCCTGCCTGCCTGCCTGCCTGACCTTGCCGGCCTGACCTTATCGAGCTGAATGGGCTGCAAGCTTGTCTGGGGATGGACGCTGCTTGCAATAAGCCAGCTGCCTAGACAGGACGCGCGTACCATGCCCCCTGCCTAGCTGGCCTGCGTGGGTGCGTGGTTGCGTGCGCGCTGCAGGGTGTGCTGCTCCCTCCACCATGCATGACAGCGTGAGCGCCCTCAGGCCTGGCCAGATAGGATGGCGCGGAAAAGACAAATTAGGCAGGCCAGGCAGGCTGGCGGCGGCGAGGCTTGACCAGCAGTTCGACCGATTGCCATCTCAAAGGTGAGGCTAGGCGGGGCGGGGCAGGGCAAAGTGGGCCACAGGGCTGGCTAGCATAAAACAGGCCCGCACCACCATCACTCCCACCACCACCACCACCCCCTCGCACCTCGCCCGCGTCCTGACTCGTTCTGCACCATCAATCGCACTTCTGATTCTACTCGCCCTCACTTGTAGCACCCTGACACTACACCCCTCCCTCTCCTCGCATCATCTCGTCCCGTCAACGCCTTCTTCGCTCTCTTCTGTCCCTGCCCGCGTGGGGTCCGCAGGCGGGCGCGTCCTCCGCGACCCCTCTCACGCCCTTCCAACCCGCCGCCCAAGCCAGCGCCGCTCCCACCGACCTCGCCCATCCCAGGCCCCCTCTTCTCGTTACCCCTGATCGTCAGATCACCGCTCGCCATCATGTCGCTCCACTCCACCCCCATCAAGCTGCACAAAGTCAGCGTCGTCGTCCATGGCCAGGCATTCATCGACGTCCGCCCCTCATCTTCGTACTTTGAGATCAAGCAGGACACATCTCTGCCCTGGTCCACCTTTTACGACTCGCTCAAAAAGAGGGTGCTGGCCGACCATCGCTCCTCGAGCGGCAAGCCCTCCGACCAGCTCGATGTCTTCGTCAGGCCCAGCCGTCCCATCCAGGGCTACTTCTCCTACTGGGGCGCCAAGTCTCACCCTCCCCTCGAGTGGCGAAGGGACGAGGTACTCTACGTCCAGATCTGGGCCGCCGGCGACGTCGCCAGCCCAAGCCACACCTACTCACACGGCGCCCGCCACGACAAGGTCAAGCTCGCCATCGACCTCTACAGGCCCTCGACCCAGGCCGGCGGCGGCGCGCAGGTGTCGCGCTTCCACGTGGACCTAGCCACGGACCAGTGCATCCGAGCGTTCCGCAGGAACCTCAACGCCGAGCTCAAGAAACGCGCGGGCATGGCGACCTCGGAACAGGTCACGGTGTCCTTTGCCGTCCCCATCGGCGACAAGGGACCTGGCGAGCTGGTCTCTGATGGCAGCCGAAAGTCCAAAGACCTCTTCGAGGCGCGCGTTCATGCATGCATCATCAACGGCTACGCGCTCCATGCCCAGCTCCGCAGCAGGAAGCCGCTCGACGCATCGCTCGGCGCACCTGCCCAGGCCTCCGTCAAGGCCCCAAAGGAGGCTCCAAAGGAGGCCCCAAAGGAGGCCGCCTCCTCTCAGCATGGTAGTACCGCCCAAAAGCAGCCCCAGGTCGAAGGCAAGACCAAGACCAAGACCAGCTCGCACGCCAGCGGTGGTGCCACCAAGGACACCAGCTCTACGAGGGTCCCCGACGACAAGACGGCCACGACCATCGCGACGTCTTTCACCGGCGGCAAGGTCGCATCGTCCAGCCCGACGAGCCAGGCCGCGCCTCCCGGCTCGGCCGGGCAAGGTCGCGCACCGGGAAGCGTCCCCTTGAACCGTTTTGCTGAGCTGCTCGCCATCCTCAACGGCCAAAACGTCCTGCCGCCCAAGGAGGGCCAGAAGTCGGTACAGGCGACAAACCGCCCTCTGTCGGACCTGGTGTCTGAAATGAAGGCGCACCTCCAAAGCCCAGGCGGCTCGTTCAATCCTGCGCCTAAGCCAGCTCACACAACCGGCAGTGCTCCTCTGGATCCCTTGGCTGAGATGCAGGCGGCCCTCAACCGCCTGCGCTCCTCGTACAAGAAAGACATGGCTCCGGCCCAGACGACGACAGCGCCTTCGGTGCACATCAGCAAGCCAAAGGAGCCAGCCTCGAGCCTCTTCCCCTTGCCACCCCTGAACTTGAAGCCGTCTCTGACAGCGGCGGGCGCTCCCACATGCGCCAGCAAGCCCTTGCCGACGTTCAAGTTTGGGAGCGCGGCGCCAGATCAGCCAATCCTTGCTTGCAAACCGGCGGAGCTGGCGGTGGGATCGGCACCCGAGTGGTTCGGTCGGGACGAGGGGAGCTTGCACGTCGCCCCTACGGACCCCAAGCGGGAGTCGGCCTCGGAGGGGTCGGCAATCTCCGTTTCGGGCTCGTACCCTGCCCCTGCCCCTGCCCCTGCCCCTGCCCCGTCGTCTGCTCCCTCCATTGCTCCCGCTATTGGGGCAGACATCGCCCACTGCCACGAGACCTGCAGATGCGAGAGAGCCCGGGACGCAGTCAAGGCGATGCTCGGCACCTTCCTGGGCGACCTCAACGCTCTCCTCGCACAAAACTTTGGCGACACCTTTGGCGAGGTCGACAATACGCCTCCCGGTGCCGTCCACGAGCACGCGTCGAGCAAGCAGGGCACCGTGAGCGCCGGCGCAAAGGCTGGCGAGCCGTCGCCCAGAAAGGAAGCTGCAGCCCATCACCAGGACAGCTCCTGCGACGCCGAAGCCGGCGCCAAGGATCCGGAAATCCACCATGCGGCCGCGGTCAAGCACACGGCCATCTGCGACCTCTGCCAGGCAACCATCTACGGAGTCCGCTACAAGTGCCTCGACTGCCCCGACTGGGACTGCTGCGGAGCGTGCCATGCAGAGACTGCCGCCAAGCACCCGGACCACCGCTTCGTCCGCATCACTGACCCGGCCAGCATCTCGTCGTCCACCGCCGCTATGCTGCCGTGCCACCGCGCGATCCGCTGCGATGGCTGCGATGGTCCCGTTTTCGGCCCGCGCTTCAAGTGCTGTGCCTGCCCCGACTTTGATTACTGCAGGCAGTGCGAGGCGCTCCCAACGCAGGATCACGCCCAACGCCACGGACCTGAGCACCTCTTCGTCAAGATCGACCGTCCCATCAGTTCGGCCGCCGTCGTCAAGGCCGTTGCGACGGCCAAGCAGCACCTTTCGACGATCCAACGCGACTCATCGGCTGGACTGGCCACTTGCCCTCAGGAAATCGTCGCCTCGGACGAGAAGAAGGCCAACTCCGAGGCCACGGCGAAGCCGGCGCTTGCGTCGACAGGGGAGGCGGTGAGAAAGGAAGAGGTGACGGCTGCGACCGCACCGCGCTCCGAAGACTCGGCTTGCAGGGGGTCCAAGTCTCGCACCGGTCGCGTCAGGCTCGAGCCCCTGGACCCCAAGGCCCTCCGCGACATGGTTCGCAGCCTGGTTGCCACCGCCATGGAGGACCAGAAGCGGGTCAAGCAAGGCAAAAAGAACGGCGGGCGCCGCGATGAAGACCACGACGATCGCGACGACAGTCAGGGCGGTTGCAGCAATGCGGTGGATGCAGGCACAGCAAACGGTGGCACGAGGGTCGCCAGGAGTCGTGCCAAGAAAACCAAGGTGGCGCGCAGCCCCAACTCTGGCAGCTACCACGGCGGCAACGTCGGCAAGACTGCATCCGCGCTCGAGTTCGAGGGCCCTCTCACTTGGCATCCGAGCTTCCTTAGCGACGAGCTCCAGTCGGCAGCCAAGAAGACTGAGGAGCTGATTGCCAAGATCAAGGAGATGACCGCCAACGCGGCTCCTGTCAAGCCGTCTTCCCCCGTCGACGCGGCCGTCGACTCGGCCGTCGACTCGGCCGGTGTCGACCGCGACGGCACGGACGCGACGGTGCCGGAGGCGGCCAGCGAGTCTAGCGGGTGCTCTGCGGCTGCACCTGCTGAGGCGGCGATCTCTGCTTCCCGCGATGCCGTGGGCTCACCTGGCAAGCCCGGCGCTGGTTCGGAAGATGAGCGGAACGAGGGTCAGGCTGTGCCCGGAACGACGTTCACCTTCAGGGCCGACACGCCTTCATCCCAGCCCGGGTCGAGTCCTCTGCACGCGGCTCTCGCTGCCGCGGATGCGGGCTTGCCCAGCAAGCCCGCCCCGATGAAGCCGAAGCTCAAGGAGCTGGACGCTGCATTCGTGCGCGACATCAGCTTCCCCGACGGTTCGGCGGTGGCTGCAGGCTCGCGCTTCGACAAGGTGTGGCTGATCCGCAACACGGGCTCCCAGCCCTGGCCCAAGGACGTCGGCCTCAAGCTGATTAGCACCTGCGGCAGGTCGCTCTTTGATGGCACCAGGTCCAGACTTGAGCCGATCGGCGCCGACTTTGACGGGCGCCTTGTCAAGCCGGGCGAGGAAGTCGAGGTTTGCTGCGCCGACCTCCGTGCGCCCGACGAGGCTGGAAAGGTGCAGGTGTTCTGGAGGCTGGCCACTCCCGGCCGCGTGCCTTCGCAGCCCGACGCGTCGTTCGGAGAGCAGCTGTGGGTGGCGGTCAATGTGGTCGACCCGATGGCGGCGGCCTCGCTCGCGGGCAAAGACGTTGCGGACGTGGAGCCCCCGTCGCTCGTGGGCAGCGGTCACGGGGCTGGACCTGGGTCGCTGCCATCGCTGTCTGGCTCGAGCATCCTGCACGCGCCCAAGGCGCCCGAGTCGGTGCGCAGCGAGGCGCCCTCGCAAGCGGACGCCGCCGAGGATGCCGGCAACGGACCGGCGTTGAACGGCGCGGCCTTCCCTCGCAGCGACACACTGCCGAGCGTTAGCGACGCCACATTCGACGGTTCCAGCGACGCACGCCACCACGATGCAGCCGACAACGACGACGACGGCTCGCTCATCTACAGCTGCGACGAGATCGAGCAGCCCACCGACAGCGAGAGCGACGACGGATTCGAGATGGTGCAGAGAGGCATCGACACCGACGACTAGCGACTACGAGAGCGCGCGGCTCCTAGCTGCTTGCTCGCGCACCTGCAGCTGACCCGAACCCTGTCACGGCTCTTGATTCCCTCCTCGACGTCGGTGGCTCCGGCCTCGATTGGTCCTCGTCCCTTTCTTCCGACCGTATCCACTCTGATCCGCTTTTCCCATGTCGTTCCGGTGTTCCGGCTAGCTCCCGTCCATTATCGAGGCCGATATCACGGCACGTCGCCCGACTCTGCCATCGTTGCGGCATTGCTCGCGACCAGCTCGACGCCTCACGCGGGCGCCCTTTCTAGCTAACGGCCGCGCTCGGGTTGACCAGGATCGGACCCCTCCGTGTCCGCTCCACTCGTCGCCGCCGTCGACGTTTTTTCCCAGATCCGTTCCATAATCGGCAGTCGACATCGCCGCTCTCCAGTCTAGTTGTTTCTATCCGGTCCTCAACCTCCCCTGTACGCTTCGCGCGCCGTGTAGCTCGCCGTGCAACCCTCGAGCTCGTCAGTTTGAATGTCCCGCAACGCCGTCGACTGTCCATATCGCTCATGACTCTGTTTGAAGGCGAAGGGGGCGGCAAGGTGCGGTCAAGTGGCCAGAGCTAACCCGCCCAGGTTCCTCGTCTTCCGCGCCGGCCACAGGCCTGCCTCGGCGCCAAGAAAATCTGCCGGGCCGAAGGCAAGCTCGCTGAGATGTATGTGCAACAAGCGAGCGAGGGGGCGAGCGAGCGAGGAGGGGCGTGCGGCGTGGCAAGGCAAGCTAAGGCATAGGCAAGAACAGGCAGGGCAGGGGCAGGCAGGCATTGGGGTTGTGTGGGCTGTGACTTGGCTGTGAGATTACGCCTTCGTGCGTGGGGCGAGGCGCGGTGCTTCAACGACAGAAGCTCGGCTGGGCTGGGCTGGGCAGGTCGGCCTTTGCCTTTGCTTGCTTGCTTGCTTGCTTGCCCGCTTGCTTCCCGTCTTGTGTTCTGCATTCGGCCGTGGCTTCGGATGGCATCCGCGGCGGCCGCCGCCCAGCACCGGTTTTGCCAGGCGGGAATTCCAACGGGTCCCTCTGCGTTTGCCTTTTGGCCGCATCGGAGCTATGGCACCGCCTGCCACATCGTCGTTGTTGGATCGCAGCACCGCCTTCTAATCCACCATCACCATCGGACCCCCCCACCGCTACAACGGCACCGGCCAGCGACATCGACTGCGCTCCCATCCTCATCGCAGCGCGTCGGCCCCGTCCCAGCACCGTCACAGACTAGCAAGCTAACCCAACAACTCATCCCTGCATCATCATCCAGGCACTCTTCGCCCTTGCCCCCGCACCACTGCATGCTCACTGCCACCCACGTCGGTACCGTCATCGCTGCTTCCACCGCCACCGCCACCGCAACCATCACTGCCGCCGCAGCAATCGCGACCGACGCCCCTGCCTCGCTTGCTCGCCGCGCCGTCGCACATGCTCCGACCTCGCGCCTATCGTCTTTAAACTCGCTACCACCTCGGTACCATCCCTGTGCCGCTGCCGCTGCTCGTGCTCACCCGAGCGTCATCGTCAGTGGTCGTGATAGCAGTTCCAACGCCCCTTGCTGTTCCCGACTCCGCCTTCCGCCCGTCGCACTCCGAGCAGCAGTCATGACGGCGGCCGCCGCGTCCACGTCCGCATCAGGCCATTCCCCCAACCTGCCCGGCGGAGGGCTCGCACCCCTCCTCACCCTGCGCACTATAGCTCCCCTCCCCCTGTTCTGCATCCCGCATGGCGTGCCCAGCGACGACACGCCCATATCGTCGTTCAAGCTTGCCGTCCTCCGCATCCTCACCGGCCAGACCGTCGCCTCGTCCTCTACCAAGCCGCTGACCTTCAGCGAGGAGCTCAAGGAGAAGACCATCAACGGCTGGAGGATGGAGATGCTCATGCTCGAGCTCAGGCAGGCCGGCGGGCAGCAAGGAGCTCCTAAACCAACTGCGCACAGCGAAGATGACGGGGTCGGCCAAGCAGAGGAACCCGTCATCGGCTTCGAGCTCCTTGATGAACACGATTGCTCACTCCTCGAGGAAGGAGACGAGATCGTTGTGCGGCTCAAGCCGGGGCATCAGCTCAAGGACCTTCAGCTGCCCGATCTTGGAACCAGGCATCGGTATTCGGCGCCCGCCGGCAGCCTGACCCGCGCCGGCACCCTTTCGGCACCGCCCCCTTATTCGGTCGCGACCCCCACCGAGCCATCCTCGCACTCGTCTTCAGTTGCAGCGCAGCCCAACGCCAACTACCACCAACACTCGTACCAAGACTACCGCCAGGGCTTCCGCGTCGTCACTGCAAACAACGTCAGCAGCGGCAGGGCCAGGCGCGCTCCCGCTCAGGCCGCCAATGTCGCAGTCGCTGCTGCTGGATACGGCCTGGGCTCGGCGGGGCTCGGCGGTGGCCTCAACATGGTCAGCAGCGTCGCAGCCAAGCCTGGTGGCGGCGTCCGGAAGGTCGGTGCCAGCAACAAGAAGGACAGGTCGGCCAGCGCCGGCGCCGCACAAGCGCCCAAACCTGTCCATCGGCGCCTCGCATCGTCCTCGGCAGTCGTCAAGGCCGACCCAACGCCGCCAACCTCGCCTTTGATCCCATCGTCGCCGAACCCGGCAAACCAGGCATCGCACGATGCTACCGGCCCGCGGCCAGCATCGGGTAGCCGACGCAACTCCTCCTCCGTGGTCACACAGACCCAGCAGCAGCAGAACGGCACCGCCTCATCGTCGAGCGTTGCATTCGGCACGGGCAAGGCAGCGGGCCAGATGTCTATGCCTCTGACTGCGCTCGTCATCGGTCCTGGCGTGCAGGGCGCCGTTGGCCGCAACGCCAACAGCGCAGCCACTCCGATTGGATCCTCGGGCGCCGCTGCCATCCAGGGCGAGGATTTCGGAAATGCGAATGCCTTCGTCGGCTTCACTGCAGCCAGTGGCGAGGTGAGAGCGAGGCCAAAACGGCAAATGTCCAGGCACAAGAGCGAGGAAGGCAGCGACAGCATCAGCGGCGGTGGTGCAGGCTCCGAAGCGACGCACGTAACGGCGGTCGCCAAAGCGACAGCGGCTGGTCCATCCATGAAGTCGCCGAACCCGGACAGGGCGGCCGCCGCCGATGCGGCAGAGAGGCGAGCTGCCGCTGCCAAGGTGCAGGCGGCTGGCCTCGCCACCAACAACGGAGAGAGTGGCAGCTCCGGTGACACTGCTCACACTGCACTCAGCCGACCTGCGCGAGATCGGCAAGCTTCCGGGTCGAGCAACCGCATGCAGCCGCAAACGAAGCAACCCCAGCCGCCATCCGCTACCTCTAGGCCGACTCGTGTCGAGCTTCCAGCAGCACCTGTCCTCCCGCCGATTCAGAACCTCGCGCCTTTCCCCAGCACGCCTACAGCTTTCCTCCTGGAGGAGAGGAAGGAGCGTGATCTACCGCCGATGCCCAGCGCCGTCGGAGCCCCTTCGCCCTCGGCCGTCAGCCGGAACTACATCAACGAAGCAAGCCAGCTGTCCGGGACTGGCCCACAGAGGCCTGGTCAGGGTGGTTTCCTCCGCAGATTTAGCTCCAAAAGCCAACAGGCAAGCTCGCCGTCGGCCGCGACACCATCGGCGACGACACCCGGCACCAACGATCCGACCTCGCCGTTGCGCGAGCACATTGACGGCGTCGCTCTTGCCGATGAGGGCGCGCTTCTGGGCGAGGCCAGCGGCGAATTGACATCATCCGCCAAGCTGACAAAGGCCGAAAGACGATACGCCGAGATCCAGCAGGGCCTGGCTAAGGAACGAGAGAGGCAGGCGGAAGCAGAGCGGCTGCGGCGAGAAGAGTACCGAGCCGCTGACGAGAAGAAGGCTAAGGAGCAGGAGAGACGCGAGATCGAAGCACGTCAAAAGGCCGAGGAGCGCAAGTGGGAGATCTGGGAAGAGGTGAGGAAGCGCCAAAAAAACGGTGCCCCTGTGGTCGTGCCCATGCCCCAGCCTGGGGCCTCTCCCTCTACAAGCGGACATGCGCCCGCGACCCGGAGAAAGAAGAGCGATACAGCGGCCGAGCCGGCTCTCGGCAGCGCGACAGGCGCGGCTGCTGACGTCGCACCGCCTCGGGCTGTGGCAGCACAGAGGATTGTGAACGGCACCGTAACGGACTCGACATCCGCGCCCGCGTCGGCTTCCGCTGCCACTCCATCCCGGGCTGTAGCCGCAACGCCGTCGACAGCGCCTCGCTCGCCTCGACGACCCGCCGTCTCAATGTCGGCGAGTACGGCCAAGGGCGGCAAAGGTGACGACGTTACGGGGCCCCGAATCGAGCTGGGCCTTGGGCGTATCACCGCGTTGCTGCACCGGCTCGGCTCGCCACACCGCGGCTTCCCCGTGATCCACGTGGCCGGGACCAACGGCAAAGGCTCGACGATTGCGTACCTCGACGCCATCCTCCGCAACGCTCTCGACATCCGCACCGGCACATTTGTATCTCCGCACCTGGTCGAGCGCCGTGACTGTTGCCACGTCGACGGCCGCGTGATCGCCAGGGACGTCTGGCGCCTGGCGCAGGCCGATGTTCTAGAGGCCGACCAAGGCCTCGACCTCCCGGCGTCGCGACGAGGGCCCAACGACGATGGCGGGCCCTTGAAAGCGTCGCCTTTCGAGCTGCTGACTGCGCAGATGTTCCAGGCCTTCTCGCTGCTGGACGACCAGTCGCGGCCCGAGATCCTCCTCGTCGAGGTAGGGCTGGGCGGGCGACTGGACGCGACCAACGTCTTCGAGCCATCGCAGGTGCTGGCCTCAGTCATCTGCCCCATCGCGCGCGACCACGAAGCGTTCCTCGGCTCGGATCTGGTCGGCATCGCGCGGGAAAAGGCCGGCATCGTCAAGGAGGGCGGACTCTGCATCGTCGCCGACCAGCGGGGCAGCGTCGATGCCGAAGATGAGGCGGACAGTGTAGCGGCAGCGCGCCGCGAGTCGATGGACCAGACCGCCTTCGGCCCACTATCGGCCGAGACCGCGGTGCTAGGGCCACGCGTGGCGGGCATTCTGGATGCCATCCGCAGCGTCTGCATCGACCGCAACGCCCGTTTCGTGAAGGGATGCGTTCCTCTCTCCCTCCTCTCGCCCTCTTCCGGTGCCAACGCTGGCAAGGAGCTCGATTCCACCAGCAAGACCGCGATGACAGCGCCACCGAGTCGGCCCGGTGCGCAGATCACCTATCGCCCCACGTTGGGTCCTACGCTGTCGCTCTCCACGTCGGGCTTCAACCCGCCGCGCACCTTTGTCGCCCACCCCGGCGACCCACCGGTCCAGGGCATGGAGATGACGGTGGAGAAGACGCGAGCGGGCATCTGCGCCTCTTCGCTGGCGATGCAGACGTTGTGGAGCATTGCCCGCGACGAACCTGCGCCGTCAGTCGCTGGCGACAGGTGGGAAGAGGTGCGAACCAAGATCATGTGGGGACTGAGGGACGACGAGCTGGCCAAGGTGCGCGTCCGCGGCGCAGTCGAGGGATCGAGATGGAGAGGGCGATGCGAGTGGATCCGCCTTTCAGCCTCGGACGCCTCTGCGCTCCCACCCAGCACGGCCGATGGATCAAGCACTACCATCGCCGCGAATGACCGGGCAAAATGGATCCTGATGGACGGAGCGCACAACGCAGCATCGGTCCTCGCGCTGCGTGACTACATCGACGATTGCCTCTCGCTCTCGGCCTCAACCCACCGCATTACGAGGATGAGGTGGTTGGTCTCCTTCAGTCAGGGCAAAGACTACCTCGACATGCTCGCCACCCTCTTTTCGCCCGCGAACCCCAACGGCTTCAACCGCGCGTCGGTGGCGAGGCACGAGATCGGACTCGTCGAGTTTGAACCGCCAGAGGGGATGGCATGGGTCCGACCCGTCACGCTTTCCGAAGGGGTGGTGGGAGAGGTGGGCAGGACGGTGCAAGACGCCATCACCGGCGGAGCCGAGGTCGAGGTGACCCCGCTGCAGGACATGCACGAGGCGAGGAGGTGGCTGGTCCACGACGCTCCCTTGATCGACGATACGGCCACCATGCGGGTCGTCACCGGTAGCTTGTACCTCGTTGGCCATTTCATCCGAGACGTCGAGGCGGGTCTCTGAATGAGGCACTCATGCCAATATCCGCGCCTCAGGGCGAGACTTTGCAATCTCAGCCTCGCTCGCAGATGCACAAACATTCACGTCGACCGTCCTGCCGATCGATTGCTCTGGAGAGATTTCTTCGTGGCATTACTCTGGGCGTCGGCATAAAGGTCAGCAGAAGGGAGGCACTGGTTTCGACAAACTACGACATGTCGGCGACACCTGGATGCGAGGCGCGGCGGGTCGGGACGGGGGGCGGGAGGGACGGGGGGTCAGCGGCCGGCATGGGCAAGGGCGTATGAGCGCAGCGCGGCTCTGGGTACTCACATCGGACGCAGTCGCCGCTCTTCATGTACTTGAAGCCCTCGTTGAGCTTGTCGAGGGTGGTCGAGTGGGTAATGTACTCGTCGACCTTGAAGGTGCCCTGCAGGTAGCGCTCGACGAGGCCGGGCAGCTCGCTGCGGCCCTTTACGCCGCCGAACGCGGATCCCTGCCACTTTCGGCCCGTGACCAGCTGGAAGGGGCGGGTGGCGATCTCCTGTCCCGCGGCGGCGACGCCAATCACGGTCGAGACGCCCCAACCCTTGTGGCAGCACTCGAGGGCGTTGCGCATCACGTGGACGTTGCCGGTGCAGTCAAAGGTGTAGTCGAGGCCGCCGTCGGTCATCTCGACGAGGTGGTCGACGATCGACTTGCCCTCGGGCAGCTTGGTTGGGTTGACGAAGTCGGTGGCGCCGAACTTGTCGGCCCACGACTTCTTGCCATCGTTGGTGTCGACGGCAATGATGCGGCCGGCCTTGGCGTCGACGCTGCCGGCAATGACGGCGAGGCCCACGCAGCCGATGCCGAAGACGGCGACGTTGCTGCCCTTTTCGACGTTGGCCGTCTTGGTGGCAGCGCCAAAGCCCGTCGTGACACCGCAGCCGAGGAGGCATGCCTTGTCGAGGGGCGCCTTGGGGTTGATGCCGACGAGCGAGTACTGAGAGACGACCGTGTACTGGGAGAAGGTGGAGCAGCCCATGAAGTGGTAGAGCTCCTTGCCCTTGCACGAGAAGCGCTTGGTCTTGTCGGGCATGGTGCCCTGGCCCTGGGTGGCGCGCACCGCCTGGCACAGGTTGGTCTTGCCAGACTTGCAGAACTTGCACTCGCGGCACTCGGCAGTGTAGAGGAGGATGACGGCATCGCCCTCCTTTACGTGGTCGACGCCCTCGCCGACCGACTCGACGATACCGGCGCCCTCGTGGCCGAGGATAGCGGGGAAGGCGCCCTCGGGGTCGCTGCCCGAGAGCGTGTAGGCGTCCTGTCAGAAAGAAGGCGTCGGGCGGGCAAGGAAGTCAGGGAGCCAAGGGCGGATGTGCGAGGTGAGCGAGCACATTCTCCTTCGAGCGCAGTCGGACCAAAACCTTGCCTGGACCTTGGCCGTGGCCTTGGTCGCCGTCACCGTCGGCAGGGCCGCCGCCGCGCTCGGAGGCCCGGTTGATGGCGGATCACTCACAGTGTGGCAGAGGCCAGTGTACTTGACCTGAACGCGGACCTCACCGGCGCGCGGGGGCTGGACCTCGATGTCCTCGATTGAGAGGTCCTTGCCGGCCTCCCAGGCGACGGCGGCCTTGCACTTGATGACCTGACCCTTTGTGGACGACATTGCGACAGAAAGGTTTTCCTTTGCGTGTAGGATTTTAAGAGGGTCTAGATGGGCGAAGGAGAGGCAGGGGCTACAGGAGGGGACGGCGGTGGATGGTGGTGGGGGAGCGGAGAGAAGAAGAGAGAAGAGAGGAGAAGAGAAGGGGCGGCCCACTTGGTTTTGAAGGTTGCGGGGGTCCGGGCGGGCAGGACGGGGCGGGGCGGCCCGGCGACGACGACGACAACGACGGCGGTGGCAGCGGCGGCGGCGACGGCGACAAGGGGCGGGGCAGGGCGAGGCTCACCAAGGTGTGTCGCGTGCGGTGGCTTGGATTCTTAGATTGGTCTGCCGCTGGCTGGCTGGGTGGACTGGGCGTCGTCGATCCGCGAGGGGCCCGCCTGGTTGAGGCCCGAGGCCCAAGTCGCCGCCAGCCAGGCTGTTGTGTGGAGGGGGCGTCAATGCTGGTGCCTCTGCTTTGTTGCCTTCTTGGCCGTGGTGGCCAGCTGGGCCAGGCGCGCCTTCCGGGCGACATTCGGCGACCCACGCACAGGATGAGGCGGCAAGCCACGGCGGGCCTTCGGTCCGGTCCGATGACGCCTCGCGCTTCCGCCCCATCTTTTTTTTTTTCCCCCTTCTTGTCGGCCGGATGAATCCCACGGTGGGCTAGCTGGGCTGGCGTGCGCGGTCACGTCTGCCTGGCGTGGCCTGCCGGCCTGCATGGGCTACGCGGCAAACGGGCGGGCGTACGTGTGTTGGGCGCAGGCCTCTGGTGTTGGTCTCGCCCTTGGCTAGTTGCTGGTGGCCTGCGCGCACCCTGCCTCTGCTCCACTTTTTCGGCGCGCGCCAACTTTTTCCTTGGAGGGGAGGTGTGCATGCTGGTGCGGCAGGGTCGGTGTTGGATTGCACTACACTGCGCCCGCGTTGGCTTGTTGTGGCGCCTGGACCGGCTTGCTTCTTGCCTCCATCCTCATCCTCCCCTTCGTGACCCATCTCTCTCTCCCTCACGACCAAATTGCCGCGCCATCGCTCATCGTCACCACCACCAAGCCAAACAACTTGCTCGCCCAGCCTCTTCTCCCGACAGCCAGATAGTCGAGTCTGTGGCAACCCCCGCCTCGATCGCCGTCGCACCTCGGGGCGTCGACCGAAGCTCGCCGCCTTCATCATGGAGGCCATGCGTAGAAAAATAACGGCCGATCAGATGGCCCTGATCGAAAAGGCAAAGCAGGAGCACAACCAGAGGCAGAAGCAGGACCCAGACGCCCCCGCCAGTACATGGAACCCCGAAATCACCTCGATCGCACCGCGCAACAAGCACGCCGCCCCTCCCAAGGTCAAGCTATACCAGCCCGCCATCAACATCCCCCCGCCCTCTGGCTCCAAAACCGGCCCCATCTCCACCACAGCATCGGGCGGTGTACCTCCTTCCGATCCTCGACCTCCCAAAGTGCCACCGGCATCCGCTGCGACCCCTTCCCCCAGCTCCACCGGTGCCGGTGCTTCTGGCGCATACAAGCCCTTCAAGCCGGCCACCAAAATCGTTCCTGGCCATGCTCCCTTCCCCGCCTCCAACACCGCAGGACTCTCGACCCTCGAGCCCTTTGCCAACTCGATGCCCCCCCACCTCGCCGTTGCGGGCCCCTCGGCCTTGCCCTTCGCGCAGGGCGGCGACCCTGGCGTCGAGGGCGACGTCCTCGACGAGCCCGAGCCTTCGGCCTTCGGTGGCCCCACGATCTCTTCCGAGGATAGGGACAAGCAGCTTCAAGATATGGTCGCGCACATGGTCAACGTCATCGACGTCGACATCTCAAAGGCCAAAGTCGACGGCATGAAGTGCATGCTCCTCCCGCACCAGATCCAGGGCGTGCAGTGGATGAAGGAGCGCGAGATGGGCAAGTACAAGGGCGGAATACTGGCAGACTCTATGGGACTAGGCAAGACGGTGCAGATGCTTGCGCTCGTCGTCAGCAACCGCCCGGGACAGGAGGGCGCCTCGATCGACAATGTTGCTCCCGACACGCCCGTCAAGAAGCGTGGTCCCAAGCCAAAGTACGCACCCCCGACCAAGGCTGCCAGCGGAACGGCGGCGACGGCGGCAGCAGCAGCAGCCAGGGCCCAGGTCAAGGGCAAAGGAACGCTCATCATTGCGCCGCTCGCCGTCGTCAAGCAGTGGGAGCGAGAGGTCCTCGAAAAGACCGATGCTGGCCTCACCGTCTACGTCCACCACGGTCCCAAGCGAGCTAAATCGGCTGCTGAGCTCGCCAGGTACGACGTCGTCGTGACGACCTACCCCACCGCCTCGAGCGAGTTCGCCAGCTTCATTGCGGGCAGGGACGCAGCCGCCAAGAAGCAGCTCGATTCGTCTGACTCGGAGGAGCTCGACGAAAGTTCCGATGGCGCTTCGGACTCTGATTCGGACGACGCCTACGGTCGAGGCACCGGCTCGCGGCGCAAGAGGGTGCCTGCAAAGGGCAAGAAGGTCGCGCCTCCTGCCAAGAAAGACAAGGCTTGTCCGCTCTTCGAGACCGATTGGCTCAGGGTCGTGCTGGGTGAGTGCTGGACAAACAGCGGCAGTTCGCGGTAGCGAATTGCCGCCCTCAATCTCTTGCCCCTTCTGACCTCGCTGCGCTTCCTCGTCCCACGTTCTCGCAGACGAAGCGCAGAACATCAAGAACCACACGGCAAAGTGCTCCAAGGCCTGCTTCAGCTTGTCGAGTCGGGCGCACAGCAGGTGGTGCCTCACCGGTACGCCCATCCAGAACGACAGCTACGAGCTCTTCAGCTTGATCCACTTCCTCCGTATCGCGCCCTTCGACGACTACAAGCATTTCAAGAAGCTCATCGGAGACCCGCTCAAATCCAGGTGAGTACAGATGGTCAATTCTTCTCACATGCGGCTTGCCCGAAGGTTGCGACCGCTAAGCGCCCTTCTCGCCTGTAACATCCCGCAATCTCGACGATCGGGTTTTGATGTCCGCAGCAACCAGAACCGCGTCAACTGGGGCATGAAGCGTCTCTGCATCGTTCTGCAAACGATCATGCTGCGTCGAACCAAGGACGCGACGTATGAGGGCAAGCCCATCCTCCAGCTCCCGGATCGGGAAGTTGAGGTGGTCAGCTGCGACTTTGACGACCCAGAGGAGAGGGCCTTCTACGCCGAGCTCGAGTCGACCATCCGCAAAAACAAGTCCGAAGCCGAAGCGAGGGAGGAAAAGAACAGCACGCTCGCCGACCTGGTGATGCTTCTCCGCCTGAGGCAGGGTGAGTGGATGCGACGAACGCCAGCCAGGGAGAGTCGCTGCTGACTCGGATACACTCCGCCCTCGCCATCTCCAACGTGCCTCCGTTGACACATCCCGCAAACATCGCGACGCTCAACAGCGTGCAGTCATCCCACCCTGACCATGTCAAAGACGGCCGATAAGGACGCGATTACAGCACCCGTGGCCAGTACCATGGGAGCGTCCCCCGGCGGGGATGCCGCTGCCGATGGCGAAGACGATGGCGATGAACTCGCCGCGATGTTCTCGTCGCTCGCCGTCGCCAAAAAGCTTTGCGAGAGGTGCCAGGCGCCCCTCCGTCCGACATCAAAGAGCCTCTGTGACTCGTGCGGGGAGGCGGCCCAGAAAATGAAGGGCGCCAACTGGACAGCCGAAAAGGGTTCAACAAAGATCCGTATGATGCTCAAGATCCTCGACGAGATCCGCCAGGGTGACAAGGCCGAGAAGACGATCATCTTCAGCCAGTTTACGTCTTTCCTGGACCTCGTCGAGCCGTTCTTGGTCACGCACAGGTACAACTTCGTCCGATGTGAGTTTGCGAGCCTGCCCATGCGGTCGGCCCCTTGGCTTCACGCTGACACGCCCCTGCCGTTGCCGTGCGTCGGCGCCTGTTCAACACCAGACGATGGTCAGATGCGACCCGAAGAGCGCGAAAGGAGCCTCGAGCGCATCCGCTCCGATCCCGCCGTCACCGTCATCCTCATCTCGTTCAAAGCTGGCGCCACCGGTCTCAACCTGACCTGCTGCTCCAGGGTGGTCCTGATGGACCTCTGGTGGAACCCGCAGATCGAAGAGCAGGCATTCGACAGAGCCCACCGGTGCGTCCGCAGCTCCTTCCCTCTTGCCAGACGATGGAGGTCGCTTGAACGCAGGCTGACGCTTCCGCCCTGCTGCATCTGGCCGGACTTCTGCAGACTGGGACAGCAGCGAGATGTCAAGATTTACAAGCTGAGCATCACCAAGACGGTCGAGGAGCGAATCCTCGACCTCCAGGTGGGTCCCGAGCTCGTCTCTTTGACCGACCCGTTGCGCGCCCGATCATTAGCTGACGCCTCCACTGATTCGGCCCGTCTGGCGACAAACACAGGACAAGAAGCGCAGCCTGGCGAAGGCTGCGCTAGAGGGTAGCAAGATGACCAAGGCCAATCGCTTGGATAAGACGGAGCTGATGTACCTCTTTAATGGCGGACCGCGCGAGGGCAGGAAGGGCGGCTGAGGATGCCGTAGAGCCCCAAGCCCCGTGGTCGTCGCCTCGAGCCGGCGAAGCCACCCAGATATAGAACGTCGAAAGATGATGTTTTCAGCAGAACACGGTAGCCACCGCCCAGCAGATGAGACGACGATAATCCCTGAGCGAGTGAGAAGGTGATCGACGATGACGAGTCGGACGTCTGAGCGTCGCGAGGTCCGGTCGACGTACCACTCGGCGGCGCCGACAGCGTTTAGCGATACGACCTATTTGACCTGGACGAGGCCCTCCTCTTGCCCCTGCCCCTCTCCGCCCCGCGTGGCCACGACAAGGGTCTGGGGCGGATGTCCCTGTCAATCGAGTCGGCTGGGTCTGTGGCGTATCCACCGAACCTACCGCTGCTCGCTCCGGGACCACCGTGCGCCCAGTAACCGGCGTCTTCGTCCCAAGTACGACTGCCCGCCGCGCCGCCCGGCTGGCTGAGGCTTTCCCATTGCTCCTTGACGGCTCTTCCTTCGGGGCTGTGCCAGAAGCCCCTGGCCTCCCAGTCGTTGACGAACTCCATGAATTCGTGGGCGCTCATCTTGTCCATGTCCCTGTGATAGAGGTGCCGAAGGGTGTACCGGTACAGCTCGAGCTTGCGAGCCAGTTCAGCGTCGTTGAGGTTTTCCAGAACGTCTCCGAGATCGTGGATGTCCTCTTGCAGCTGCGAGCCGGTACGGTGCACGGGGACCTGGGCGGCGCTGTGGTAAGGCAGCACCTGGGTGGATGTTGGGGTGCTGATGACGACGGCCGAGTGGGCGTCGCCGTCCGGCTGTACCGACCTCTGTCCGACAGCGACGCCCTGTTTGGCCCAGAAGCTCTTGAGCGTGGCCAGCTTGCCCCGCTGCTTGGCCTCGCGTGAGGTGAAGGCGATTGCCTGTGCCAGCTCCTCGCCGAGCCTTGCAACGGCCTCAGGATCCTCGACCTTCTTTTTGGCGATGAGCGCGGCTAGCTCCATGGGATCCGTGATGGGTGGTGCGTGCCAGATCTGCTTGAGGCCCGACCATACCCTCTCCAGGCCATTTTGTCCTTGTGCGCTTGTCGAATGGACAAGGAGGGAGAGCACCAGCAAGGTGGCGAGAAACAAGGAGGTGCAACCGCCTCGGATGCCGAGTGGACGTCGCATCGTGCTTCCACTTTCGATCGGGACGGAGCGTGCTTGTGAGTCCCTTTGGCGGCAGCCAACAGCAGGCTGTGGAATCAGTGGGAAGAGAGAGGATGAGGGAGGTCGTGGCGCGTATGCCCCCAGAGTACGGTCGTCGCAGGGTCGGAGAGACAACAGCAGGTAATCGAGCAGGTACGAGGAGAGAAAACGGGCGATTGCCGTCGACAAAGCGACCTCCTCCGAAGCCCTCCCCCCTTCCTGATTTTATACGTGGTCGCCCTCGCCGACGGCCATCCCTGGCGCCGATGACGCAGGTCTGCCCGCCTTGACCGGCCCGTTGTGATCCTCGATGCATTCGCCCCGAACCGCCAAGCCAAACGACAGAAGCAGGGAGGAGCAGGCGCGCAGTCGTCTCGGGGGCATTGGTGCCGACACGGGGCGAGTTTCGGAAGCGCTGGCGAAGGTGGGTGCGCCCCAGGTGGTTCGGCTGCATCCGAGCGGCCTCTTGCATTGTCCTGACTTTTGCATATCCCTCAGTAGTCATGAGTGCCATCGATGAGCACGGCACGAAGGCGTTACGACCGCATGGGCAGAGCAAAGCTGCTCGCCGAAGCGTCGTGCTGTCCCACCGGGAAGGTCGAGGACTCAGGCACCATGGCCGGTGAGATTTGCCGTCGACCGGCACGGAGCATGCCGGCGCCCCTTGCCCTCGTCCATCTCATTGACTCTGGAGCATCCTTTGAGACTGCCTCGACCGCCCGAGCTGTACGGCAGCCAGCGTACGGATCGGACCCCGCCCGTCTCCCACGCTCGTCCGCAAAGTTCCGAGGCGGTAGCGGTCTGCCCGTCCCTGAACCATGATCCAGGCCGATCAAGGTTCATCATGCCGACGACGAAGCCTCCCCACCGGCGAATTCAAGCTCAAGCTAGGAGCGAGGCAAGAGCTATTGGCTTTCCACGCTGCACCGGCAGGCGCCATCCTCGGTGAGCCCGACAAGGTGCCGGCCCAATTATGGCTGCCTGCGCACGACCTTTGCAGAGCGGTTGTCGAGGTTGGGCATGATCATGGGCGACGTTCCCTCTCTCGACCTGAGATCGATTGCGAGACGGTGGTGGTTCTCGGCCGTGCCCGTGTGCGGTAAACGTACAAGATGAATGGGGTGCCGACCAGAGGAGGCAAGAGGTAACCGCGCGGGCTCGCCATCGGATGTACGTTCCGATTTGCCTCCTTGCACGTTGACTGGCAAAGGGCTCGACAGAGTGGAGCCACGGCAAACGGATGCCGACGGCCGCCACGCTCAGCTCCAGTCGAGGTCGTCGTCGTTAAAGTTGGTCGACGACGCCCCGCCGCCGGTCAGGGCGGAGGCGTCGAGCAGCGGTTTCCCGTCCTGGCCCAGCGGCAGCGTCGACTGCATCGGAAGGCCATCCGGCCCCAGCTTGCCCTCTGCGCGGTCTTTGAGCGCCTGCATCCATCCTCCCTCATCGATGCGCTCCGTCTCTTGCGCCGCGATCCGGTGGGCGTAAAAGTCTCGCCGCACATCGTACTTTTCCCGGTCATCCTTGAGCATCCTTCGGAGCGCCACGACCGAGGGCGAGTTATAGCAGAACAAGGAGGGGGGAAGGTGAGCATCGGTCGGCAGAGAAGGGGAGCTTCCACGACCAAGATTGAGGCTGAGGCTCACCGGCTGTCCATTCTGGCATCTTCGCCCTCGATACTGAGCATCGGGGTCGCCGTCTTGGCCTCGATCACCTGTCGGGGCCAGCAAAGGAAGTGGGCAGCGAGAGAAGATGAGCCGACGCCCTGAGGGCTGATATGCAGGCGCCACAGCACTCACGTAGTGGTTGTCGCAGTGTGGGCAGTACTCGTCCGACTCCTCGTACTGAGAGAGCTCCTTTCTGAATGCCCGGCGGCACTTTTTGCAGATAAACGCCAGCTCAGTCGTCTTGCGGAGCGGGTGATCTTGCGTCTCGGAGTGGCACTCCGGACACTGCAGACGTCGATATCAGATGCGAGAGTAGGCGATCAGGACAGGCTTCCTGAGCTTCATGTAGTAGACGAAGAGGCTGCCCGTCACGTACATCAAAGAATTTTTGGCAGCACGGTGCTCGCACCGAGACCTGTGCGTTGAGGATGTGTTTGCTACACGAGATAGGCAAAGGGCGGTGCGAATGTGAGCAATAGGTGTTCGTCCGGACATGACAAGGCCAGCTGTTTTGCCTGACTCACCACATGGTCGTCTCTAGACTAGGTCGGCCGTGACGTCCTTGGTGCGAATGAAGTGACGATGGCGGTGTGGGGACCGAGGCGGTGGTGTGGAGACCTAGGCCAAAGCGGAGGGCACGAAGAGACCAACACCTCAGTGCAGCAGGTCGGAGCGCCTCTGAGCACCCTCCGACTCCCGAGCTTTTTCCAGGTCAAGCCAGTCAGCAGCGGTTGAGCACGCGACGAGCCTTCTTCCTCACCACCACCTCCGATGGCCTTTTCGACGTCCGATATCGCCATACAAATGGACACAAAGAGGCTCATAGGTCAGCAATCAAATGCGTCTCACTCAAAACCTGCGGTGGGACTGACGGAGTCAGCGATGGAACCAATGCCGTGGACACCTTCCGCCCACCGACGGTGGCCGAGCTGACGCCCCGAACTACATCATCTAGCATGGCGGGCAGCCAATGCAGGAGCGACGAGCATTCGTTGTAGGACCAACATGGTCGATGTGGCTGGTGAATGACCGCGCTGAGATGCTGGTGGGTACAAAAGCTCCGCTCCGAGGAGATGGCCCGGCCAAAAGCCCCAAGAAAGAGCCTTCCTGCCACCTCCCTCACTCCCTCCCCGATTCATTCAGCACACATGGTCGTTTTCGTATGGCTCTTTGTGGTGATAGCCGTCCAGCTGCTGCTATCTGGCATCGCGACGGCCGATCCACGTCCCATGCCAATGGACCTGCCTGTTTCAAGCACCTTTGGGCAAGTCGGCCATGAACTCCTGGACCAGGCGGCTTCTCGCAGAGATCCCGCATCTCTCAACATCGTGGAGTCTTGGCCTTTCCCTCGTGACGCCGCCCCTCAGCTCGCCAGCCTCAGCGCGCATCGCTCAGCCGCACCGACTGCTCTCGAGCACGCACACGTCCACGCATCTGCCGTCGAGGGCAGCAGCGAGAACGCCCCTTGGTCCTCTTTCCAACCGGCGCAGCCGCGTTCGTCGGTAAGCGGGGCCGGACCATCCGCAGCATCCGCACACGGCCACGTCCCGATCAGCACCCAGCCCAGGCAAGATTCCAACCCCGTTGTGTGGCTCTACCACACGCTGATGGCCGATCCCTTGGCACAGGCGACCTTGGGCGACCTGGTCCCGATGCACACGCAGAACCTCGAGAACTTCTACGCACACCCTCGCTGCTTCCGCAGCAACACTGCCGACCGCATCCTTCTAGCAGCGGACAATGCAGTCTTCAACACCGTCCAGCTCGCCGGACCAGAGGAGAAGGACCTCGTCTATCTCAAGTACCTCGGCGATCTGCGCTTCTTTGGGGAACGCTACTCTTCGCCCGCCTTCTTGCCTCACTGGGCCACGTATGCGGACGGCACATACTACACCACTCCCCTTGCCCAGATCGACAGGCAGGTCGGGCTTAGCAAGGTAGTTCCGAAGCGCTTCTACGGGCCCGTGAACCGCTACCGGGTCAACAAGTACGAAATCGTCTTTCGAAGGATCGCATCTCTGGATGCGATGGAGATCGTTCCGCCCTCTTACCAAAAGCAGGTGTTGGCGCACCAGGCCTTTGTGTTTCACGTCACAGCCTTTCCAGAGGCGAAAAGAGGACCCCAGAGAAACGTCCAAGCGCTCGAGATCGGCTACCTCGTGTCGCCCTTCAGCCACAAGAAGTCGCAGATACCGCCCGTCTATCCAAACGTCGAGCACTTTGATGTGTTCCCGCACGCGTCTAGCGAGTGACGAAGTGTTGGGAGCATCTGGAAGCCCGTCGAGTCTAGGACGCTAAAAGGTGATCGGTGACCTCTTGGCAAAGATGCCGCCGGAAGCGTCGACGGAGGGACTCGTTCTCGTTCTCATCCCTCTCCTCGTACTTCACGGCTGTCCTCGTCACGCACTTGTGTTGACACGCGCGTGCCTCTGGCCTTTCCATCGCGGCACGGATGATTGCCGCCTTGATCGTTCCAACCCTCAGCTATATCATCTTACACTGCATTCCACTCAATAGAAGCTGTCATTTGAACTGTAGTGTCTCGTGTCGATGGCGGCGAGGGTTGATGGTAGCACGCACTAGCGCCTGCAGCGCGTGAAAAATAAGAATATAATGGCTGGCGGGCGCCCATGCAGGCGTGGCCTGGCCTGGCCGTTCCAGACGCGGGGAAGCGAGGAAAGGCGAGGCGTGCACGCACCACCCTACCCCGCTCCTTCCTGCGACACCACCATCCCCACGCCCATCACCATTAACCACCAGAAGAACTCCACGATGGGGTCTAGCCTTCAGACCGGCACACTGCATCCGCAACTTACGGTCGGCCTACCGGGTCCGCTCACCTCGCTCCCCAAAGCAGCACGGGAACAGTGCCGCGCCTCGATCCTGGTGCACCTACCGCCCAGCCTCTTCTACGACCCATACACCTCCTACGCCATCCGCCGCGATCCACGTATCGCAAACGTGCAAATTCTCGGTCACACTGAGCTGGAACGACCTGTTGGATGGAGCCTATCCTCCCCGCCCCCTTCTTCGTCGGTGCGGACGTCGGCGGGTGCAAGGAGCTGGTGGGAGAGGGACTACGACAGCGACGAGGCGGGCGGGACGTTTCCGGACGACGATGAAGGCCTGGCCGGGCTGGTCGGCGGACTGCTCAAGAACGAGGTCCAGCAGCGAGAGGGTAGGAGGGCGGAAGCGGCCGGGCTCGGCGCTCGGGGGAATCGAGGAACGGGAAGGATAGAGGACCTGAAACACGAACACACCACCGTCGTCTTGGACCTCGACACTTCCGCACTCGGCAGGGCCAGTGGAGGCGCGACGGAGACGATCGATGTGCCGCTCCACGTCCGATACATGCCGCCATCCTCGACGACGTCGCCGAGCCTTGTCGTGGGACTCGAGAGGGTTGCGACCAGGATGCTTTCACCGGCAGTCTCGAAGTGGCTCAACAGCGCCGTGGCGCACATTCCATGGCTCTCCTCATCCGGCCCAGGCGTCGATACCTCGGAGCGCATCGATTCAAGCAGGACGACGGTAAACGAGGAGGACGAAGGGCTGTACTACCGCCAAGCGCTGCATCCGCCCGAGATTGTCCTCGACTGTCCCGACCAAGTGGATGCGCGATCGCTGAAAGGGTGGTATCCCGTCGGTGAGTCCCTCTTGCGCTCCACTGCGCCTGCACACAACAGAACCGACTCTCATCTTTCGCCTTCCTCCATACCTGCCTCGTTCGATACCGAAGACGACACATCCCTGTTCCCCAGCACGCACGCACACCACAAGCTACCCCACCCGTCCACGTCGAGCCTCTTCAAGCCTCTCCTCGTCCAGTCCTCCTCCTCCTCCTCCTCCTCCTCCCCGTCTTCGGCACAAGCACCTGACCTTGAACTCGACCTCCCCATCGGCGACACCCAGGTAGCGCCCTTCGTCCAGTTCTTTACCGTCCTCTGCGTCTTCCTCCTGTCCGGCTGGGTCCTCTCGTCCACGTTTCGGTACACCGACAAGGTCGACCGCCACGAGGCGCACCAAGCCAGCACACGCGAGAAGAGCGTGCTCGGAAAGCGTCAATAATTGAAGGCTGCAGCAGTAAGAAGAACGAGCGGACGGGCCAAGGAGCGGAATGGTGCGTGGTATCTAGCGTAATGGAGACTGCTTTGGGTCGACTGAGAGAGAGGGGCGGGAGGAAGAGATGTGTAGGCATGCTGGTTTCGACGATGGAGTGGTTGGCGAGGGCAAGAGCGAGAGCGTTGGCGAGGGCAAGAGCGAGAGCATTGACGAGGGCCGGTGCGAGGAGCCGAGGCGGCAGGGTGCTTGCAGAATCCCGCTTCCACAATGGCGGCGGCTACGTCTTGGCCACGGGTGCTGGCGCCTCGTCGCCGATCCGCTCGCCGCGCTCGCCCTCGTCTGCTTCGGGCGCCTTGCCCGCCAGCTTCCTCGCCCGCCTCCTCGCCTCTTCCATCCTCTTTTTCCGCTCCCGCATCTCCCTCTCGACGATCCGCTCGTCGTTCTCGTCTTCTTCCTCCATCCTCCTCCGCTCCTCGTCCTCCCTTGCCCCGTCGATTTCCTCGAACCTGCCTTCCTCGTGGAGCTTCTCCCTCGGATCCTGTACCTTGACCACGCCGGTGCGGTTCAGCCGGTCAAACAGGCAGAAGAGCTTTTCGGCCTCGGCCTCCTTTTCCTCCTCCGTCATGCTGTCCATGTCCGCTGCCAGCTCCTCGGCGGTCGGGTCAAATTGACCCGTGATTGGGTTGACGGTGCGCCCAGAACCGTCGGGAGAAGACCCGTTCCCGTTGGTGTACGAAGGAGGCAAGGCGCTGGCGAGGCCGCTGTTCATGAGGAAGCCGGCGCAAGGCCCGTAACCGATGGCCTCGGTCATCGACTTGGGGTCTGATTCGCAGATTGCCAGGAGCATCTCGCCGGCGGCGCGAGCGGTCCGCTGCAGCATCACCGACGACATCAGGCGCACCAGTCGACCGAGGAGGTCCAGCCGCTTGTCTAGCGGCCTCGATCGGTCGAGGTCTGACGGCAGCAGAATTGATCGCATCGAATGTCGGAAGGTGCCGTCGTCTGCGGCGATCTTGCGGAGCAGCAAGAGCAGCGGCGGCACCGTGTCCTCGATCTCGACGCCGTCGCGGTTGGCGGCAGCTCGAACCTGTTTCGAGTCTGGATCTTCGACGCTGTGCGACCCGTTCTGGGTGGGACCGTCGTCCGCGGCGGCGGCGCTGAGGTACCGGTCCAGCACCCGATCGGCGATGACAAGAAGCCGAGACAGCACCGGCGGCGCGGTCTCGAGCGCTGCTGTCGATGCGCGGGAAATTTCGCGGCTGAAAGCAGTAGTCTGCCGGGCTGCTCGTGGCGACGGCGGTGACGAGGCGGTCTGGCCATGATCCGCGGGCGCCGATGTCGAGGCTGCCGACTTGCTCCCGCGCCGATTTGCTGAGCTGCTGGAGGACGAGGAGAAGAGGGCGCTGACGCTGTCGGCCAGCTTGCGAGCAGTGCTGCCCGTGGGGGAACCAGTCGGTGAAGCGTTGCGGCTGTCGGAGTCGTTGCCGAGCTCAGAGAGCCCGAGACCGTGCTGGTCCAGGGAGCGGCTAGCCCACCGCTCGTGGTAGCCCTTGAGGGGATAATTGAGCAGCGCTGCGATGGCGTGTGTCATCGGAGGGATAAGTGGCACGGGCTCAGATAGGGGTAGTGAAGCAACGACCTCGAGCACAGGATCCAGCATGTCGTCGAGCGCCTCGTGGTAGCTCTCTCCTGCCACGGCGCGGTCCTGCAATGCTTCGCTCTTGCCGTTGCCGTTGCTCGCGGTGCCATTACCGGCAGAGTTGGACGCCGAGATGTCGTCGCCCCGGTCGACGTTGTCGTTGCTCTGTGCGCCGCTGCTGCTTCTGCCACTGCTGCTGCTTGCCAGCCTCGGGTAGTAGAGGCAAAGATTGAAGTGCGCCTTGAGCAGGTCCGATAGCGCCGTTGCCAGCTGCGTCCCCGTCGCGGAGGCGACCAGGGTCGACTGCCTGGAAGGTGCTGCCTCGCCGTTCTCGCTCTCCCGGATCGTCCTGAGCAGGGTCCGGACGCAGTCGGCCTCCTTCCGAACCACTCCGAAGGATTCGACGGCTGTGCGGTTGAGGGGCGACTCGAAGAGCGTGCCAAAGAAGAGGAGGCGAGAGCCGAGGAAGAGTACATCGACCGGCGTCTCGCTAGGGTTGGCCAGCAGCGCCACGGCCGTCTGGCCACCTGCGACTCCCTCGCTGGACAATTCGAGCCGCGATGCCTCGTGGAGAAAGAGGGCGTTGTTGAGGCAGCGGAGCGCCATGTCGGTAATCTGCCAGTCCGGTGCGCCGTCGTTCGGGGAGGTTGACGGGGCTGGCTCCTCGTCGATGGTGGCGGACTCGTCCGAATCAGCGTGGGAGGGCTTGGCGGTGGAAAAAAGGCGGGGTGAAGTGTCGCTGCCTCTGGAGCCGGAGGACGGCGTCTTTGGTCTTCGCAGCGCCCTGCTAAGCGTGCCAGCGAACGAGGGCGAGGAGGAGAGGGCGGGAGGAGGCGACGAGTTGCCCGACGAGCCCGACTTTCGTCCTTTGCGAGCTGCGCTCCTCTTTGCGGGTGGGAAGTCGATTTGGAGCAGCAGGCTCTCGAGACCTTGCCGTTCGGCCAGCGGCGAGCTGCCACCGGGCAGACGGCTGAGCTCCTTGAGCACCTTGAGCGAGAGGAGCCGCAATTCGGGCGACCACTTGCCGCGAGCCCGCGAGTTGGACGGGATCGGCGCCTGCCGAGCCCCCGTTGCGTTGGTGAGGTCCGAGATGAGGGCGCGGCAGAACTTGGTCCGCAGGCTATCGGACAGCGAGCCGTACGCGGTCAGCGCCTGAGAGTCGAGCGCCGTCAGCCAGGCATGCACCGAGTTTGGGCTGTCGAGGCGCGCCGACGGCGGCGTCGAGAGGTAATCTTTGACTGTCTCGGACATTTCGAGGGGCGCGGTTGTTGCCGCTCTGCTCCGCAAGCCGGGACGATAGGGTCACGGTGATGCTTCTTGATACGAGGACGAGTTGACTTGTCTTTGAACCACGTGCAGTGAGATCCGGGTCGAGAAAGGAAATATGGTAGTCGTGGTCGGGTTCGAGAAGATCAGGTCGAGCGAGAACGATGCCAAAGAGGTCGAAAGAGACGACGAGGAGAGGTCCGTCGTGGTGGTGAAAGGGGACGCCGGGCCTTGGCCGCTAGTAGTATAGGCCCGACTCTGAGAGTCTGCGGGTAGGCGACGATGACGGCGAGGCCTGAGTCTTTGTGAGGCGCTGCTGCAGCGAGAGCCACGAGGGCGGCACAGTGGCCCAGCGTGAAGCGCAAAAGAGGTCGAATGAGGTGCAAGCCACCTGCGGTGCTACGCTAGCGCGCCTTATTCTTGTAGGGCAGCGCAGGGAGTCGTGCAGAAGATGTGGTACAGTTGCAGCAGGATTCCTGGGCCGGACGGGCGTGTCGGGTGGGTGGAGCGCGGTGCCGAAGGGCGGAAGCGAGACCCATATGTATATGGTGCGGTGATGCGATAGTCTCGAGGTGAGTAGTAGCGGCGGTGATGTGGGTCGTGGTGGTGGTGTCTGCCAAGCAAGCAAGGGGATGGTGAGCAGGCCGGGCGGAAGCGGGTGCCGGCAGCTGTCTGATCTAGAGAGGGAGGCAGGCAAGCAAGGGCCTGGTCGAGCGCGGCAGGGCAAGATGCCATGCACGACTACTACTGCGAGCGAGGCTTGGTGGGAGCGCTGGACAATCTGCAAGGGGGCAGGGTCCTCTCTCTCTGTGTGTGTGTGTGCCTCTGTCCGCCCGCCTGGTTGCCTGCCTGGCTGGCGTCCCACAACCTGGGCGGCAGCCTTCCACCCTGGTGGGGAGCTGCTTGATCCTAGCCTAGCCGGCCTGCCTCCGAGGCCGCCTTGCGCACGCTTCCACCTAGCCTGGCCCTTCTCTGGCTTTGCAACTCAGCCCAAAAAGTGACACCTGAGTTCGGTTACTTTCCCGTCGGCCAAGTGCCCGCTCAGCTGATGGTCGAGCCGGCCCGGCCCCCCTTGCTTGCTTGACGAGCTGCAGCAGAACGACAAGCAAGCCCATCTCGCAGCCAGCCAGCCAGGCAGACGACTTCACATGAGGATAAGGCCGAAGAAAGGAGAGGCGGGGGGGGGGGGGGCCGGAGGCAGGTGGTCAACTTGATAACTACGTCCCTGCACGGAGATGCCGATGGCCCCGAAAAGGCAGGAGCCAACGAGCAGAGCGGTACGGTCCGATGGCAAGCAAGACGTGGGGTGAGGACGTCAAGACGTGGGCGCGGGGCCCAGCAAACGTACGCAAGGGGGACCTTCGCAGCTGGCTTCTGGTGTGACGATGGGCATCGCTACAGCTACTCCTCGGCTCGCTCCATGATCGCCTCGAGACCACCCGCCGCTCCCTCCTTCCCCCGCCGTGTGTCACTACTCACCAGCCTCGCTAGCTGCCTGGCTACTCTCTGTGACGACCAGCAGCTTCGCACCGTCGCCGGTCGAAGTTAAGACGTGTAATTGAGGATCGGAGATGGCGGAGAGGCAACTCAGCCTCACCCCGCCTCTGTCGACGTCCTGCAAGCACGCCCGCCGACCGACGGGCGCCAACACGCAGCAGAGTGCGCGGATCCCCTGCTACGGTAGCGCTCGAGCCACTTCGACAACATCCATCGATCGTATCGGCCGCGACACTGGCAAGGCTCGACCTGCAGCGCCACAGCCGTCGGTTCTGCGGTCTTGCCACGGCCGCCACCGAGGGAGGTTTCAAGACGCCGCGATCCGCAGTCGCCGCAAACCTGGCCTCTGGTTCCTTTGTCAGGAGGTACGTAACGGATCGATCCATCTTCATGCCATGCCATGGGGGTCAACGTGGCTGTTGTCGGGGATGGTGCGTGGTTGCTCTGTCCTGGCCGCGGATAAAACTGTAGCGCGGACTGCCATGCGACGTCTCCTACCAGCGCCCGGTCCATCGGTCGCCAAACGAGGAGGAGGGACTATAGTCACTGGCCTTGCACCGCGCACCGCTTGTCGTCCATGCCATCGACCAAACGCCGGATACGGGCAGGGCGCGAAGCGGTGAGAGTAGTCCGTGTGGCGATGACAACGCAGCAGCTTGCTTGCTTTGGCTGCCAAACAGGCAAGGTCTTGGGACAAGCAGGCAGGTGCTGAGCGCAGACTGTCGGAGTCGCCAGCGGAGGAGAGAAGGCGGACGTCGAGATCGACGCGCCGGAGCGAAGCCAGCAAAAGGCGGCGAATGCGGCGACGAGCTTGGATCTGGCGGCTTTGCTTGGCTCTCTTTGTTGATGGCCGCCTGGCTGCCTTGTGCCGTGAGTCAACGCCATGTCGAGCTGCCAAGCATCAACGGGAAGCGCCCGACAGCGGATGGCCTCGTCGCCGTCGCTCCGCATCCGTCTCGGACCTCGGCGCAGTGTAACGGTGGCAAACGCGACCTCCCGTGGGCACGGTGTGGGTAGTTTGGAGTCGGCTGCGCACTACAGAGGGCATCGCTCTCGAAGTGGCGGGGACGGGCGATGCCATGGTGTGAGACCGGGTTGCACTGCTCCGTTGTCGCGCCGGACGGGATGAAAACACACGACGCGGGAAGCTGCCTGCTGGCGGCTCAGCAGGCGCCATTGAGCGGTCGTCGTTGGACCGATACGAGCAAAGCAGGCAGACTCGGCCGTGCCTGGTCGGTTCACATCCGGATAGACGCCAACCGCCCGCGAGAGCTCCAGGTGCCAGAGGTGGTAGGTGGGAGCGGCGCTTCGGGTGGTGCCGACCAATGGCTCCGAGGTTGCGCCTCGGAAGTCGGGCTGGGGGCCGATGGCCAAGCTGCAGGCCGGCAGGCTGACCAGCCCAGGCTTGGATGGCCAGCGCTGCCTCCACATGGGGCTGGGGCTGGCTGACTGGCGTGGGTTGGCCTGGCTCCGCTCAGCGGCCCATCCATCGGTCCACGCCGAGCCCAGAAGGTCGGGGCACCACCATCCTCCCATCGACCGACCGACCGGCATGCCCTTGCGACTGCTCACAGCCGATCCCATCCTCCAGCTTCGCCCCGCTTTCCGACTCTGCTCTACACTGTACCCTCCCTCGGTCTGCTCCTCTTCACCACACACCATGTCGTCGCAGCCCAAGCAGCCCGGCGCAAAGGGCGCAAACTACCACAAGGTGCGTCACCCCCTCGCCCTTCTCGCCCTCGCCTCGGTTCAGGCCGGCACTTCCATGGCTCGATACCAGCTTCACATATGGCAGCACAACCTCTGACGCTCCCTCTCTCGCTCTACCCCCAGGAATGCACCGGCGAGGCACTCGAAACCGCAAAGGCCCACAGCCAGCCCAGCGAGCTGGTCCTCTTTGGAGCCTGCTTCTGCCCCTTTGTCCACCGCGTCTGGATCGCCCTCGAGGCTATGCACAGTGCGTCGATGCCAGCTCCTTGCCATCTTTACCTCGCTCTGCAAACGTGGCATTGCCTGATTCCGCTCGCGAGCCGCTCCCCTGGCCATTCCCCCAACAGTCCCGTACCAGTACGTCGAGGTCGATCCCTACGCCAAACCAAAGGCGCTTCTCGACCTCAACCCCCGAGGCCTCGTGCCAGCGCTCAAGCTGGGTAAGAGCGAGGGAAAGGGGCTTGGAGAGTCGACAGTCATGTGAGTGGGCGTGCCCCTCTTCCTCTCGTCCTGTGCTGGCATCCTCTCTGACCACAGCAGATCTGCGTCACGGTCCCGACTCATCCGTACAGCATGGAGTACCTCGAGGAGGCCTACAGCCTCTCCTCGACCAGCTCCGGCGACCACCCTTCCCTGCTCCCCCCACTCTCCGACGCCTACTCCCGCGCCCTCGCCCGGCTGGCGGCAGACAAGCTCAACCGCAACCTGATCCCGGCCTTCTACCGGTACCTGCAAGCCCAGACGACGGAAAAGCAGATCGAGGGCGCAAAGGACTTCCTCTCGGCGCTCCATGACTTTATCGACTCGATGCACCCGCCCTCGTCTTCGTCGGCCGGTTTCTGGAACGGCTCGAAGCTGTCGTGGACCGACGTCATGGTCGCCCCCTGGCTCTTCCGGGCCACGAATGTGCTCCGCCACTTCCGCGGATTCGAGTGGGACAAGATGATCGAGGGCCAGGAGAGAAAGGACCGCTTCCGAGCCTGGACGCAGGCCGTCTTCGCCCACGAGGCATTCAGGAAAACGACGTCGTCAGAGGAACTCTACCTCGACAGCTAGTGAGTGTGGTCGTCTGGCCGGCCTCGGCGTCATGCTGTCCCATCGACGTAGATGCTGACGCCCTGTTTCCACCCTGGTCGCCATCGCCGACGGTCAACAGCGTGAGGTACGCCGAAAACAGGCCCAACACGTCCCAAGTCGCCAACGCCATCAACTCGGGTCGTGAGTAGTGCACAGGGGCCGAGCTCGCTCTCGCCGTCGCGGTCCGGCCGGCCGTGCCTGCAAGAGATCTGACTGACTGACCATGTCCGCCATCCTCCTGCCTGTGTTCGGACCGACGGATCCTCAGGCGCTCTGCCCTGATCCTCACGCCGGCACAGTATCGCAATGGCCTCGTGTCGATTAAAGAGAAGAGATGGCGAGATGATATGACAGAGTGCGGATCGTCCATGCATGTGCGTGTGCGTGTGCGTGCGGGTGCGTGTGCGGCGTGGGTGGTATGCAATGCTGGGGAGCCCGTTGGCGAGCGGGCGAGCTACTTTTTGCTGAGGGGTCGGATGCGCATCCACCACGTCAGGCCGGTCGCCAGGGCAATGTTGACGAGGATAAAGACGAGGAAGATGGCCCAGTCCCTCCAGCGGGTGTGGTACGAGTATCCGATCGAGTCGACGTACGTCTTGCCCGTCGAGTAAGGGCAGTAGGCGCACGTCGCCGCGCCCAAGCCCTGGCCCTCGGGCTGGGGCTGGTCGACGAGGTAGCCGGGAGCGAGGTTGAGGAACGCATCGGCGTACGACTGGCAGCTCGCCTCTGCCGGTGGCTTGGCGAAGTGTACCAGCTGCGAGGGTAGGCAGGTGATGGTGATGGGCGAGATGACCGACGAGACCATGCTGGCGTAGAGGTAGCGCAGCGGCGTGATCCACGTGACGGCGCGGAAGGGCTGGGGCATGGAGCCGAGCGGCGCAATGACGCCCGACAGCGTGTTGATCAGGTTCCAGCAGAGCGAGAGGACAAATGACGCCGCGAACGGATCGCTCGACGCCGCGCCCAGCAGCACGCCCGACACGGGCCCAAACACGCCGATGCCGATCCACACGAGGAAGAGCAGCCCCGCCGTATCGCCCACGGGGACGTTGTACGTCCACGTCGAGCAAAAGTAGAGGACCACGGCGCCAAACACGGAAAAGGGAATCTCGACCCAGTGCGCGAACAGCGCCGCCGTCCACGAGTAGATGCCGTTGCGCTCGCGCGCCAGGTAGAGGTCCATGTTCTTGAAGTAGGTCGTGGCAATGTCGAGCGTCATGGGCGCAATCGTCTGCACCAGGATCAAGAGGCACAGCGACAGCGCCTGCGGCGCGGCGGCCGTGTGCGGCAGGCGGTAGAAGAAAAACGAGGTGAAGAGGCCGAAAAAGACGTTGTTGACCAGCCGAGACGTCAGGTAGGAGCCGTCGCGGATCTGGGCGCGGAAGTAGCGGCGGCTCAGCTCGACAAACTGCGTCGTCCACGTCGAGGCGAACCGCGAGTCGGCCTCGCCGCCGCCGCCGCGCTGCTCCGAATCGGCCTCGCCGCCGGCGGCCTGCGACGACGAGTTGAGCTCGGCGATGCGGTCCTGCAGCCGCGCAGCCTCGGGCGACACCTTCCAGCGCTCGGCGTAATCGATCTTGGACCCGCCGACGGGAGCGACGGTCTCGATGAAGAACTCGGCAGGGTTGGCGCCCGAGGGAGGGTAGACGCCCTGCTTGGCAAAGTAGTCGAGCACCGCCTGCGCGCCCTCGCCCGTCTCGCCGGCGTAGACCGTCTTGCCGCCGGGGGCGAGGAGAATGATCTCGTCAAACATGGAAAAGAGGTTCGACGACGGCTGGTGGATCGTGGCCAGCACGCTGATCCCCTCGCTGCTGATCTTGCGCAGCAGCCGGACGATCTCAAAGGCGCCCTGGCTGTCGAGGCCAGAGGTGGGCTCGTCGAGGAAGAGGATCGAGTCCGGCTTGGCGGCGAGCTCGACGGCGATCGTGACGCGCTTGCGGTGCTCGATGCCCAGGCCGCCGATACCGGGCGCGCCGATGATGGCGTCGGCCAGCTCCTCGAGCTCGAGCAGGCGAAGCACCTCTTCGGCGTAGGCCAGCTTCTCGCTGCGCGGCACGTGGGCCGGCTGCCGCAGCAGCGCCGAGAACTGCAGGCACTCGCGCACCGTCGAGTAGGGTTCGTGGATGTCGCCCTGCATGACGAAGCCCGTGCGGCGGCCGAACGAGTTGAGCAGCGGTCGGCCGTCGAGCAGAAATGTGCCCTCGACAGTGCCGCTCGTCTTGCGCTGCGAGATCGTGTCCAGCAGCGTCGTCTTTCCGGCACCGCTCGCGCCCATGAGCGCCGACAGCTTGCCGGGCTGGACGTAGCCAGAGACATTGTCGAGCAGCTTGCGATCCTTGCCCACGACCTGGACGCTGTACGAGACGTTCTGGAACGTGAAGGGCTGTCCGGCCGAGGCGATCTTGGCCACGGCAGCCCTCTTGGCGGCATCGCGCTGCTTTTCGTCGCCCACGCCCCTGCTGCCGTCTACGGAGGCGGCCCGAGGCTGCGCCTTGGCGATGTCCTTTCCAGAGGCCTGGGCGGGCAGGTCGGCTGCGGCCGACTCTACGTCGGTCGCTTTGTCGCTGGCCTGGACCTGAACCCTCTTGAGGGCAGGAGAGCCCCGCTTGTAGATCTTGGTCGCCGCCGAGCCGCCGCCCTCGCGGATGGTGAGGTTGGATCCGAGGATGGTCATAAAGAAGAAGATGAAGTAGAACGCCCAGATGATGCCGACATTGCGCCAGATGTGACCCACGTCGAAGCCGTACTGCCTCTCGAGGTAGACGCGGCCGGGCACCGAGCTGGAGCCGACCTCTGCGCCGATGATCGAGCACGTCTGATACTGCGGATCGGTGTAGCCGGGCCCGCTGGGGACGAGGTCCGACTGCGAGCAGGTGAGGACGCGCGTCTTGAACTCGTTGCCAAGGAGCGCCTCGAGCGCCCACGACGTGACGCTGGTGCGCTGCATCCAGCGCGCCCAGCCGAGCATCGACGGCGCCGGCAGGCCGAAGCCGCTGACGGTCAGAGTGAAAGAGAGGGCGAGCGCGCTGTAGCGGATCGCCGTCGTCATGTTGGGCGACCAGGCAGCGATCATGCGGAACATCATGGCGATGGCGAGGTAGAAGGAAGCGACGATGAAGAAGGTCGTGAAGAACTGCGATGCGGCGGCCGAGAGGCCGAGCATGAAGTAGTAGACCGAGCAGAAGACGATCGAGTAGATGGCGTAGAGCGGCAGGTCGACCGAGACCTGGCCGAGCAGCTGGGCGACGGGCGTGTAGAAGCCCGCCTTGCGGTGCTTGACCAGGACGCTGCGGGTGGCAAAGGCGTTGGGGACCTCGGAGAAGCCCATGATGGTGAGGTAGAGGAGGATGAAAAAGAGGCCTCCGGCGACGCGGAACGATCCCGCCGCCGAGGCCGGCGGCTTGTACAGCACGGCGCCCGTAAGGACGGCGTTGAGGACGATGGAGCCGGCCTGCGTGATGATGACCGACGACGAATTGATGGTGAGCTGCACCTGGCGCCGGATGCACGCGGCAGTCTGCTCAAAGATGTTGGAGACGTAGGGGCTCGCGACCGACGTCAGGCGGTGCTTGGCCGCCCGGACGCTGCCATCGAGCAGCCGGGGCACCTCGCTCTTCTCGTTGCGTCGCCGGTAATCGTCGACCTCATCGACCACCTTCTGGAAGTAGACGCTCTTGCGGAAGGCCTCGGCCATCTCGGTGGCAGTGAGCGGCGCGGGCCCCACAAGATCCGGGCGGATGCGGCGCTCGGTGGCCGATGTGCAGCCGGTGAGGAAGTCTGGCGTCGTGGTGCGCGGGTCCTTGACGAACCACTGGGTGAAGAAGTGCTCAGCATCTGCGGCGCGGCCAGAGAAGGCCAGCTGGCCGTCGTAGAGGACGACGACGCGATCAAAGCAGTCGTACATGGCCTGCGAGGCCTGGTAGATGGACACGACGTTGGCCATGCCAGTGATGCGGGAGAGCTGGCGGAGGATGCGGATGTAGTGGTAGGCCACGGCCGAGTCGAGGCCGCGCGTCGAGTTGTCCCAGCAGGCGATGGCCGGGTTGGTCGAGAGGACCTCGGTGAGCGAGACGCGCTTGCGTTCGCCTCCGCTGACGCCGCGGACGACCTCGTTGCCGACAAAGGTGCCGGCGGTGTGGGGCATGCCAAAGGCGTCGAGCAGCTTGCGGACCTGGTCGTTGGCATACTCCCGCCGGCTGCTGTTGGAGGTGTCGGCAAGGTTGGCGGGCGCCTTGAGCATGTTGGCCATGCCGAGCGTGTCGCGGACGCTGAGCTCGGGCAGGTGGATGTCCTCTTCGCCGTTGAAGACAATCTGGCCGGCGTATCGCTTGGCCGCCTCGTCGGGGCCGATGTTGGAGAAGCGGAGATCGCCGGCGAGGGGCTTGGCAAAGGCGGCGGTGTCGTTGGAGAGGGCCTTGAGCAAGGTGGAGCAGCCGGAGCCCGGCCGGCCCAGGACAAGCATCATCTCGCCGGCGTCGCAGAGGCCGTAGACGTCCTTGATGATCCATGAAGTGGGACCGCTGTGGATGTTCGCGAGCTTGCGGACCCAGCTGATGGCGTCCCACATGCGCACCAAGCTGACGGGGAGGTCCTCGACCATGCGTGCCTGGCCGCCGAAGCCCTTGACGCCAAGGGCGTGGAAGGCGACTCCGACATGGCGCCAGCGAGGGTCCGAGGAGGTGGTGGGCAGGGGGATGTTGTCGGCGGCGAGGGGGAAGTCCTTGCTGTCGCGGCGCTCCTTGTCGTCGTCGTCGTCGTCGTCGAATTTGTGTTCCCTTTCCTTGTCGTCGGAGTGAAGGTTGTGCTGTGAGGATGAAGCCGACGAGGAGGACGAGGTCTGCGTCGGGCCGACGTGGTCAGGGTGCTCGGCGTGGTCGAGCTGGTGCTGCTGGTGGTGGCCGTCGCTGTCGAGGCTGGGCCGATCGGGCGTAGTGGCCCTGGTCGAGTCCTGGGGCATTGTTACTCTGACGGCCTCGGCGATGGCGGCAGGCAGGCGGGCAGGCGGGCAGAGAAGGGGGAGGCTTGGTGACAGGCGAAGACCCGACGAAGGGGGAGGGCGTGGCCCCTGCGTCGAAGGCGGCGATCCTACAAACGGTCGGTGGCAAAGGGCGTCGAGCTGCCAGGGGCGTGGCGGCCAGCGACGGCAAAGAAGAGAAACGCAAAGGACCAGGAGCGCTGGTGGCGGGCAGCAGGGGCGAGAGAAGAAGAAGAGGGAGGAGGAGGGGAGGCCATGGCGACGACCTTGCTCCCAAGGGCCGACCTACATATACCGCCCCCGGAGCTAAGCAAAGCATGGCGAGGCAAGAGCGAAGGCGTCGGCGGAGGCGTCGGCGAAAGCCGAAGCAGGCCATCAAACAAGCCAGCCAGCACGCAAGCAAAGGCAGGCAAGGCATGAAGTAAGGTGGCCCGGGGCGAGACCGAGAATTTTTTGGTGGCCGTCCAAAACAGCGGCGCACCGGCGATTCTTCCGGCAGCGACCCTCGATGGGCGGCAGCGTCGGCAGCGGCGGCGGCGGCGGCTTCTTCTTCGCTGCCTGCCTGCCTGCCTGCCTGCTCTTCTCTCTCTGCTTTTCTGTTTGCTTCTTGGCAGCAACACGCGGCGCGCGGAGAAGGCCGCAACTTGAAACCACCGCGACCTTCCCGTGCCGATTTCCACGCATCAGGCCGGCTCCATCGGTCCTCGCGGCCGAAGCCCTGCATCGAGGTGCTGAGCACAAAGCAAGATGGCAGACGGAGTGACACGTCGAGCATCCCGGTTGCTCCAACGACTGCGGGGAAAAGTACAGAAGGCAGGCATACTGGTACAGACAGACGGTACAGACCCGTGGTTGGGCGAGGCCAGCATGACACGGCAACGACCTAGAGGCCAGCATCGACCAGGGCGGGCAGCCAGACGCCGCCTGGGCTGGGTATAACGGTGGTGCGGCGCCCAAGCTGCGTGCGCCGGCAAGAGCGATGCGCTGTGCGACGTCAAAAGAACGAGTCGAGCCCGTGGACGTGGCCCTGGTTCTGGCCGTGGCCCCGCTGGTCGCCGTGCTGGCCATGGCTCGTCTGCGACGACAGCTCCGCAAACGAATGGGGCCACGGCGCGTGGTGGTCTGCCGTCGCATCATTGAGCCACGAGGCCATGTCGGCTTCGCTCGCAGAGGCGTGCGGAATGTTGAGCGACCCCTGCGCGGCAGCGGGCGTTTCGAGTTCCAGGTAGGCTCCCGCCCCGGACTCGTCGGCCGCTTCGGCATCGTCGCGCGCCGCTATCCCGTCATCGTCGTCGTCGTCGTCGTTGTCGCCATCGTTGCCATAGCCAGCGTGCTCCGGCTGCTGATCAGCGGGCCGATTCCGTGCCGCCGCCTTGGCCCTCGCAGAGTTCTGCCCCTGCCCCGTCCTCTCCATCTTGGCCGCACCGCCGCCGGGCAAGCGGCTCGACGGGACGCTTTCGTGCCGGGGGACAATGTCGATCAGGAAGTCGAACAGGTCGGACCTCCCGATTGCGCCGGCGATGTCGGATCGCTGGATGGTCCTCCGCTTGTGCTCCTCGGCGATCAGGAAGGCTCTGCAGGTGAGGTCAGAGATGAAGACTGGCAGGAGAGGGGGTTGCAGAGTTATGCGGCGTCAGTCAAAAGGAGGCGACCGGAGAGCGACAGCCACTTCAGTTCCACAGGCAGAGCAAGACGGCTCAACCGCTCCACTCACTCTCGCAGGCTCGAGCAAAGAGAATGGGCGCCTCTGCCGAGATCATCTGTCAAGAGAGGAGATACACGGGGCGAGCGATGCGTCGTGGCAGCGAGCGTCAGCATCGACCGGGCCGTCTTCCGAGCCGCACGGTACAGGGCAGACTCACCTTTACCTCGTCGTCACTCTTCATGACCTTTTTGATGCGGGCGAGGGGCAGCTGACCGCCGGTGGGGGTACCGCTCTTGAAGTCGACGAGGCCGCCCTCGCCATCGCCGCCCTGTTCGACGAGGTCCATCTGGTACCTCCAAAACGACTCCTGGAAGTCATCGAGGTCCTGAGAAGCGTGCACCAGGGGCCCGCCCGGTGTGATTGTGGTGGAGCGGCTGGACGAGGCGTGGGCAGATGACGAGGGGGACCCGTGGTTGGAGGCGAGCGACGAGGCGCGCGATCGCTTCTTTGACATTGCAAGTTCGGGGCGGCGTTTGTCGAACCGGCGGTGGTTGAGATCCCGGGTCCGCGTGAGATGCTGTAGCTGTAGCTGTAGCTGTAGCTGTCAGAAGGGTGCAGGGCCAAGAGCGACGATGGGATGCGGTGGATGGCGTCAGGGTGTGTGCATCGAGGAGAGGTTCGCTGGTGGTGGAGGCAGCTCCCAAATTTTTCCCTTTGGGTCCCGGCCGGCCCGCGGCACCCCACCGACCACGCGAGCAAGGCCAGAGGGCCGGGGCAGGCAGCAGGTGGTCGTGCGGCGGACCGGGAGACGGGCAGCCCAACCAAGGCCACCTGGATTTTTGCATTTCGGGTCCGCACTCTTGGCCTATTGCTGGGCTGGGCACGCTAGACCATGGCAGACAAGGCAGGGCGCGACAGGGCGAGGCGAGGCGAGGCAAGGCGAGGCCTGGCGGTGGTCACAGGATGCCGCCGTGGGCCTGGCCTGGCCTGGCCTGGCCTAGCCTGGCTGTCCGGACTCCGCGCCCCCCTCCTCTCCACGCTGCCTCTCTGTCTCCGAGTCTCGACGCCCGTCAAACTGTGGTTCGTGGTCACTCGGCGCGCTCGACGCACCAGCATTAAGATTCTCTCCATCCAGCCACCCAACCAACCAAGGTCCATCGCCCAAGGTCTCCGGCCATCTGGCACCCCCCTCTCGCCGCTCCTTGATCCACAGCGGCATCCGGCTTAGCCCCAGCGCGGCTGATCGGATCCACAGCCTAGTCACCTCTGCCTCGCTCTCCTGCCGCTCAACTCTCGATCTGGTCACCTCGTCTCGACTGCTGTACCACCACCACCACCACCACCACCACCACCACAACCACCACGACCACAACCACAACCACAACTACCCACAGGATACCCTGTTTGGCCAGCTTGCTTGCCCTCGACAGCCGCCTTTTCTGCGCAACCTCGTACCGGCCGCTTCTTCGCATTCACCCGGCATTCTCGTCTTTCGATCCGTGCAGCGCCCGCCCTCTGGCTGCTCTCCGGCGACTCGCTCACCTCCTGCGTCTTGCATCTTGCATCCACCCCTGCCTCGGCGACTCTGCTCTCGATCGCTCAGCCTACGAGCGGCACCCTCTTGCTTTCGAGCTCGCGGCCCGCATCGTCGCGGTGGTCGTGTGTGCCCGTCATGACGTCCGGAGGCTCCTCGTCGTCCTGTAGGTCAACTCAGTGCAGCCATGCTCTGGCATCTTTCCTCGGCCAGCGCCCCGGCTAACGTCCCGGTCTTTGGACTGTCGTCTCCCTCACGCCCCGCCTCCCTGCAGCACCCAACCTGGCACAGCTTGCCTCTTCGTCCAGGTTGACCAGCAACGGCCACACCGGCAGCAGCTCCACGCCAGATCGCAGATCCGCAGACGTCGTCATGCTGGCCAAGCCAGCCCAGTCGCCTGCCCTAACACGCGTAAGCTCCAACCCGCTTTCGCAGTCCTCGGACGAGTCGAAGCTCGTATCTCCCGCCGTCGCCGACCCATCTTCGCCAAGCGAAGACCCTTCGGCCATCCTCACGCTCGCACCGCCAAAGCCAGGGCCTGCCGACACGTTGTATCCAAGCCCTTCCGGCGGGTTTGTGCCTTCGCCAGAAGAAGGCCAGGACTGGCGGCTGAAGCCACCTCCGGCGCGCAAGGAGTGGGGCGAGACTCCAAGGGACCGCTTCGAGGCCAGCAAGCGCCTCTCGCCCACGGCCAGCCGTCCGGGATCGCTCGACCTGCAGGGCGCTGCTGGCGCCGTCCCGCCGTCGCCTTCACGCTCGGATCGAGACCAGCGTCCGGGATCGCTGTCGTCGCAGTCGGCCGGCGGCGGCGCGGGGTCTCGGCTGAGCCCGACTGCGCCGACGCGTCCACCTTCGATCCCGCCGTCGCAGGAGACGGCGTCGCTGATCGCGGATGCCTCGTCGGCTTCGCTCTCTCGGCGGAGCTCGCAGGCGTCGCAGTACGCCGGATCGCCACGAATGCGCCCGCTGTCGAGCGCGTCGAGCCTGTCGCGGCGGGGGACAGCGGCATCGTCCAAGGACGCCTCACCTGCGAGCCCGAGCGCAAGGAAACGGCGCAGCACGGCCTCTGCGCACTCACGCCTCTCGGAGCGGGCCGGCTCGACGACGAGCATCTGCACGGCGCAGCAGGGCGGCGGCGACAAGGCCGGCTGGGCGCCCATTGTCGTGCGCGACTTTGCGTTTGACCCGGCGGACCCGAGGTTCGCCGGGCAGCGCGAGGCCGGGCTGGGTCAGGACGACGACGAGGCCGGGTCGCGCCAATTCGACGAGGGCGAGGGCGAGGAAGGGGGCTGGGGCGACTTGGAAGGGTACGAGGACGAGGACGAGGACGAGTTTGTGGGCGACGAGGGCGACCAGGCGCACGTTGCCGAGGGCGTGTACCGGGTGGTGTACGAGTTTGTCTCGGAGAGCGAGCACGAGCTGAGCGTCGAGGCGGGCGAGACGGTGCGGGTGGTGGGCGCGCTCGAGGGCGGATGGGCGATTGTGACCAAGGAGTCGGACCAGGAGGTCAAAGGGATAGTGCCGGCCACGTATCTCGAGTGGATGTCGGACGAATGACGGCAAGGGAGCGCGAGGGTTGGGGCCGACGTGGTCGTCGCCGTCGCCATTGCCACCACCACCATCGCCATCACCATCGCTGCCACTGCCACTGCCACTGCCACTGCCACTGCCACTGCCACCCTGGCCTCCACCTCGGCCAGCGGTGTGCTGCCTTGCTGTTGTTGTATTCTACGTCGAGAGGGCTGTTGGGGTGTAACGGGAGCCAAAAGTGCGTCGCTGGCGCCGCCGACCGAGGAAGGATTGATGTCGCAGAGTCTGATTCTGGGTGCCGCTGATGGATTCATCCGTCGCCGACGAAGGCGGAGCGAGAAAAGGGGGACGGGGGCCAGGGCCAGGGCCAGGGTCAGGGTCAGGGTCAGGGTCAGGGTCAGGGTCAGGGCCACAGGGCCAGTGTTGTGGAGGCTGGCGCCGTCTGGCTGGCCGGCTGGCCGGCCTTATCCGTAGGGCTGCGTGCACGCACCACGCGCTTCTTTTGGCCTCTGACCTGAAGCACCCTCCCTCCCCCCCTCCTCTCCCTCTCTCCCTCTCTCCCTCTCTCCCTCTCTCCCTCTCTTCCGAGCCTTCTTCCGACTACCGCCACCATCCATCAACCGGCTTTTCTGAGCGCCTCAGCTTCCTACCGCTTCGAACATGGTCTACTCGGTCGCCATCTTGACCGGTGAGCGACACGTTGATTAACCTCATCCAGTCCTGGACCGGCCCGTACTGACTGCACATTCACCTGCGCCCCTCGCATCGCCCCTTTGCAGTCTCTGATACGGCCGCATCACAGCCGCAAACGGACCGATCTGGCCCCATCCTCGTCGACGCCTTCGGCTCGCACGCCTCAGGCGATCTCGCCGTCAAGCACACCGCCATCGTGGCCGACGACGAGGAGCTCATCCGCCAGACCGTACAGCAGTGGATCGACCACGACACTGTCCACCTCGTCGTCACCACGGGCGGAACGGGCTTCGGCCTGCGAGACCGCACCCCCGAAGCCCTCGCACCCCTCATATCCCGACCGACGCCTGCCCTCACCCACGCCATCACCGCCCACTCGCTGCAAAAGACACCCCTCGCCGCCCTCTCGCGCTCCGTGACCGGCATACGCAGGTCGTCCAACCAGGCTACCGACCACGAGAGCCTCATCGTGGTTCTGCCCGGTAGCCCCAAGGCGGTCATGGAATGCCTCGAGGTGCTGCTGGGCTGCCAGGAACAGGGAAAAGAGAGACAGGGCGTGCTCCTACACGCCCTCGAGCTCCTCTCGGGCCACTCGGGCCAGAAGCAGCACCAGCAGATGCAGGGCGCCATGTCCAGGGACGCCACAGCCTCGATAGCCGTATCGACTGGCACCGACACGGGCCACGCCAGATCGCACCACCACCATCATCATCTTCACCGCCACGGTCACCATCACGGCCACGACCATGGCCACGACCACGTCCGCAGCAAAGGCCTGCACAGCCACTCGATGCCCGTCCCTCGAACCAAACCCGAGGATCACCTGGGCCCCTTCCCGTTCAAGACCCAGGACCCGTCCTCGGGACCTTCGCTGCGCCATCGTCAGTCGCCTTACCCGATCCTTCCACTCGACGAGGCGCTCCGACTCATCGCCGACAACACGCCCCATCCCGCCGACCTGTCCGGAGCGCGGACGGCCACCCGCGCCGTCAGCGTCGAGCTGATCGGATCTGTGCTAGCCGAGGACATTACAGCGCCTCGCGATCTGCCGCCGGGACCGACGACCAACGTCGATGGCTACGCTGTGCGGGCCGCGAGCACGCCCGCCGGAGACTACCGGGTGGTGACGCTCCGCACCCTGACGGCGCGCGACGACGGCGCTCTGCTGCCCGGAGAGATTTTCCGCATCAACACGGGACAGGGTCTGCCGGCGGGCACGGACGCCGTCGTCATGGTCGAGGACACTGAGCTGCTCGACGTCTACCCGGACGACGACGAGGCGATGAAGGGCGAGGAGAAGCTGGTGCGCGTCCTCGCGCAGGTCGAGTCCGGCGAGAATGTGCGGCAGAAGGCGAGCGACGTGAAGCAGGGCGAAGTGGTGCTGCGCAAGGGTACGACGCTGAGCGCACTGGGCGGCGAGATCGGCACGCTGGCGTTCCTGGGGCGGTCCGAGGTGAGTCGGCGAAGGCGCGCACGGGACAGGTCGACGCGCGATGCTGACTGGACGAGCGCGGGCTTTTGTGTCGGACGGCGGGCGACTAGGTGCGCGTGTTTGCCAAGCCGCGCGTGGCCATCCTGAGCACGGGCAACGAGCTGGCCGACGTGGGTCAGGTGCCGCTGGACGCTGGCAAGGCGGGCGCGCAGCAAGAGTCGTGGGGCTTCACCGTGTTTGACGCCAATCGGCCGGGCCTCAAGGCCGCGGTCACGGGCATGGGCTTCGAATGTGTCGACCTCGGCATCGTGGGCGACGAGTGAGTCCAGGCTCCTTTCCTCCCCGCGCCGCTGCACCGCGTTTCGTCGACGGTGACGATCTGACCACACGTCGCCTCTCTCGCCTGCACACACATACACACTCTCTCTTTTCCTGCGACCGTGGCCATCTTGCAGCGTTGGCGAAACGCTCTCGGCGCTCCGACGGGGACTGGAGAGCGCCGACGTGGTCATCACGACGGGCGGTACGTCGATGGGGGAGAGCGACCTGCTCAAGCCGCTGATTGAGCGACACCTCGGCGGGCAGATCCACTTTGGCCGCGTGGCCATGAAGCCGGGCAAGGTGAGAGAGGGTTTGTCCTTCGCGACCCGCGAGCCGTACGTTGCCTTGCCCTACTCACCAGGTGATGCGGCCCCCCGTCCTGCCCTTCCTCGCGAGTGGCACAGCCAACGACATTCGCCACGATCCCCCCCGTCCCCACACCGAACGACGAAACGACGAGGGGGCAGGGAGTATCGAAACAGATTTTCGCACTACCCGGCAACCCGGCATCGGCACTGGTGTGCTTCTACGTCTTTGTCGTACCGTCGCTGCGCAAACTGTGCGGATACCCTCCATCACCTTCCTCCTCGGTCCCCTCATCGTCGTCGTCGGTGGCGGGAAACAAGGAAGAGGTAGCCAACGGATGGAATCTTCCCCGGATCCAAGTCAAAACAACGAGCGAGATGAAGTTGGATCCGCGGCCCGAATTCCATCGGTGTACCGTCTCGGTGCGGGCGGATGGAGAGGTCCTGGCGTCCAGTACGGGAAGTCAACGCAGCTCGTAAGTCCTCTTGCCCTTTTCCTCCCCCCCTTCCTCTCCCGTTGCCCCCGCTGCCCATCGGTCCCGTTTTTGGAGGGTGGGATCGCTGACGAACCGCATCGCCGCTATGGGCGATAGCGGGATGCATTCAATGGCTACCGCCAATGCGCTCGTCTGTCTTCCTCCCCTCCTCCCACACGGTCCGAGACGCATCGAAAGGGGCCAAAAGGTTCAGGCTATCCTCCTCGGTCCCCTCGTCTAGCCCCGCTCCCGCCCCCATTTATCCATCCGCGTAAACCTAGTCACAAGGTCAGTCCCACCGCAAGTCCCGCCATCGACAAGGCAACGGCAACACAATGCAGTGGCACTCGCAGCGTCCAACGAGGAAAACGTCACCCACGACCCACGACTGGATGGATGGGTATCGGATTTCGATAGGCCTATGCGAAAGGGGGAAGCTACCATTACATTCAGACGACAATGAGGGAAAAGGGAGGAAAGGAGAGCGGGTGAAATGGGGCACGGCATCAACGGCCGTGGACGAAGCGCATCGCCGCGTCGTCGGCGCCGCTCATCGACACGCCGGGCATCCAGTCTTTGGAGCCTTGGCTGCTCGACGGCATGCTCCCGCCCACGGTGCTCAGCGTCGAGCGGCTCGACATGGTGCGTTCCAGGCCCCGTCGTACGGTCGTCGACAACGACGGCGACGACGTCGGCGATGACGACAGTGGCTGCAGCGGCGGCGGCAGTGGCGACGGCGGTCGTGGCGGACCCGTGATGGTGACGTCGCCCTCTCGGTCGTCCGACGACGTCGGATCGTCGCTGCGCGCCTCAAGGACAGCGGCGCGCTCGGCAATCAGCCTCGCCTCGAGCGAAAATGGCAGCGTCTCAGAGTCGTTGGTCGCCTGCGAGATCCTCGGTGGCCCGTCGGCGTTGCCGCCCTCGTAGTCCGACGACCAGGCCAGGGGCTGCGTCGCATCGTCGTCGTCCTCGTCAACATCGACACGGTCCTCGTCGCGGCGCTGCTGCCGAGACGCTCCATGCTGTTGTGCGTGGCCGCCGCCGCCGCCGCCGCCGCCGCTCGCTTCGTCTGCCGCCGCCCCCAGCAGCTCTTCCGTCGGTCCGTCGTCCGCCTCCCGCTCGCATCTTTCGTCTTCGTCGTCCGACAGCTCATCCCGCAGGTCGAAGCTGAGCGGCGCCTTTGCCTCAGCAGCCGTCACTGGCGCCGATGCAGACGGTCTCTTCGTCGCGCCAGAACACGGCTGACGCGAGAAGCCGAACCGCGCCAGGTCGCTCTGGCCGTCGAGCCTCTTGCTGGCATCGTCGGCAGAGAGCGAGACGGCGTGCTCGCCTGCTCGCGCTGCTTCCTCGGCCGCCTCGTCTTTCCGGGCTCGGTGCAGCGCGGCGAGGATCGCACTGAAGCGGTCGGTGCCGCCGGGCGAAGGCGAGTTGAGCACGGCGCGGCGTCCGTCCTCGTTGGATCGACCTTGCCCGTGTTCGGGCCCCGCTGGCTCGCGCCTCGGAGAGAACCGAGGCGGCGACCAGTGCGACAGCATCGCGGGGAGTGACTCGTGCGTCAAGCCAGCAACGCCGCTGCGCCGTCGGAAGCCGCGCACGCGGTGCAGGTCGCACGTTTGCAGCCTCCTCCGCTCCTGATCGCGAGCGTCGTCGTCGGACGTCGCCGCGCTGCCGAGATCGTTCCTCTGGTGCAATCCTGGCCCGTGGTCGTCGGCTTGCGTCTCGCCGCCGCCCAGCGCGGACCGCACTTGGCTTGCCCGCAGCCTGACCGCTTGCTCGTTGAGCGCCCGCGCGAGCCGCAGATCCGCCTGCTCACTTGCATTGCCCTCGTCGTCGCTGTCCGTCTCCCACGCCAGCGGCTGCGTCTCATCGTCGTTGTCGGCAGCACGCGAGGCTGGTTCGGCATCTGTCGCCTGATGTTGACCGGCCAGGTCTGTAATCGCGTCGTTGTTCTGCCTTTGCGGTGGACTGGGCGGCTGGGACCGTCCGCCGGACCGCGTCACCTGCGGCGATTGTCTGGCGCTGCTCTTGCCCGTCGAGAGCGCCGCCTTCCGGGGCGGAAGCCATCGCTGGGGCGTCTTGAGGAGTTGCCGCCGTAGAACGTCCTCGTCCGGGTCACGATAAGTCTCGTCCTGGGGACCGTGGCGAGGATCAGGAGTGTCGGAGCTGCTTGAGAACGCAAGAGCAGACTCAGAGATGCCGCCATCCCGCCCGCTCTCTGCCGTGACCTCCTGATGAGGTGTGGTGGAGGTGGTAGGGCAGACAGCGCTGTCTGGGCGTCCGGAGCTCGTGGACTGCTCCTCGGAGCTGGGAATGGTAAGCGGGCTTGACCCGCCGAAGATGGCGCGCAGTTCGGACGGCGGCGGCATGAGGGGCTCTCGGGACCGGCTGGATGCTGAATCTTGGCTCGGCGTGGGTTCCGAGCGCACGTTGGGTCGGCGCAGTCCCTTGGGCATCGACGCTTGGGCCGACTCGAGCTGCGCAGGCATGGGCATGGTCCGGCCACCTTCAGCCCGTACTGTCGCGGGCCCAAGGTCGGGTGCAGAGTGCGTTCGGGCGGCGCCATCTTTGAACTGCGTCTCTAGGGCGTACACCCTGCGATTGGTTCGAGGCGATCGAAGGACCGTCTGCAGCCGATCGACGGGGCGATGTCGCTCCAGGGGACCGCGGAGCGGCACAAGGGCTGGGCCAGACACGTTGGCGCCCGCTGCGTCGAGGTTGTCGTGGCCGTCGGCGTCGGCGTCGCCTTCGGGAAGCACCACGCACGACATGCCCATCGTCTCGGTTGCGTGCGTGTGCTTCCCTGCCTCTGCTGCTGCGATGCCGCGACCTGCTGAGTCGGACCGCAGAGGCTGGCGCGACGGCCCGGCCACCGCTGCCATGCCATCGTCCAGAGGCTCGTCCTCGTACTCTCCGCCTTCCGCGCCGATCGGCTGGGTCTCGTCCATATCCTCGTGCCCTTCGACTGCCTCTCCGCTAGCCGCAGGTCCGGCCGCTTCCGGCACGCGTTTCAAGTCGGGGTCGGGTTCATCGACTTCCATCCTGCGATGAGCTTGTGCGAGCCTTGCGGCTGCCAGCCTGCGCTCGTCTTCTTGTATCTGAGTCTCGCGGATGCCCGCCCTGCGCTTGAGTTGCGCCATCAGCGGTCTTGACCTCTCCTGCCACGGGAACGGCTTGAAGTTGGAGAGCGGTTCATGCATGAAGGGCGTCTCTTGGGCGTCCTCGGGCCGCGCTGGGCGAGGCTCGGTGGTGTGCGCTCGTGGCGCGACAGCCCGCCTCGGCCTGGAGGGAGGCGGAGGATGGCTGCGTGGCGCCTCTATCTGGCGATGCAGGGGCGAGGTGCGCCTCGGTGCGGGCGGCGCAGGAGCATCGCGCCCGGGCGATATCTGAGCGCGCTCGGAAGTAGAGGGACGCGAGGGAGAGGTGTCGGGCGAAGCCATGGCGCGACGGGCGGCGAAGCTCGCGTCGGAGGCGGATGGCCGTACGGATCTGGGTATGCTGCCAAACCTGCCCGACTTGAGCATCTTCTGGGCTCTCTGAAACACCTCTTGGTCGTCGTCGGCGTCCAAGAGTGGTTGCGCCGGTGGGGGCTGTGGGCGTTGGCATGTTGCCGAGGCAGGCTGATGGCGAGGTGCCGCAAGGTTTTCGTTGCGCGTCGAGGATGCGACGGGGGTGGTCGGGGACGTGGCGGACTGCGGGGCGAGGCGTGGCTGCTTTTGTAGGAATGCGCTGAGGGTGGTCTGCATGGTCTTGTCGCCGGTGCTGGCCGTCGGCTTGAGCCTCTTTGGCTTTGCCGCCGAGTCGGACCAGGACGGGGCGGAACGCTTTGCCGGTGTTGGAGAGGGAGCGGGCTGGTAGTTGTCTGGGCGCTCCTGGAGGGCGAGGCGCCTTGCTGGCGAGGGGCGCGGGCTGTCAGAGTTGATAAGCCTTGCGTTGGGGTGGTTCTCCTTTTGGGTGTGGCGGGTGGCCGAGAGGACCCTCTTTGCGGGCGAGCGTCGGTGCGAGGTGGCGGGATGGGCGGGGGCAGGGGCAGGGCTGTCGGATGCCCTGATCCAGCCGGTAGGCTGGAGGCGGTTGGCGGCCATTGCGCGTCGGCGGGAGTGGTGCGGGGTGCGGGATGCGGGGTGCGAGGAGCTGGGCGGTTGCTATGTTTTGGGCATGTCTTTGCGAGGCTGAAGTGATGGGGTCGAGCGTAGTTGCTCGAGTGCAGGTGTGCTGTCTGTGGGTGGCGGCGAGGGGATGCGTTGGTGGTGGTGGTGGGTGGTGGTGGTCAGGCGTGCGTGGGTGCCATGCATCATGTCACCTCGCCTCTTGGTCTGGTGCCCACCAAAGCCAGCTGGCCGCCATGGCCCTGCCTCTGTCTGCCTTTGTCGTTTGGCGGGAGGCGGCCTCTGTTCGAAAAAAAAGGTGGCAGCCCAAAGGTGGAGGCTGGCTTCGTGAGCCAGGCCAGGCAGGCCCAAACGACGCGAGCGGCCCATCGCGACGCGAGGCGGGCCTGCCTGCCTGGCCTCAGCAAGCATCCTATCGGGGGGGGGGCCTCTGGCATGGCATGGCCTCGCCTCACGTACGCTTTGCCTTGGCTCAGCTTGCTGGCCATTGGCAACGGGCACAAGAGATGGCGACACAATCGTCGAGCATGGCCAAGCGCGACCAGGATCGAGGCGCACCCAGGCTGGCGCTCCTCTGCACCCAGCAGACCGTCCTCTACGATGCCATTAGACAGCCCAACGAGCCAGGGCCGAGGACCATCCCTGAGCCAACATCTCGACGACGACGACGACGACGACGACGGCCTGACAGGAAGCAGGAGTCGAGCATGCCGGGTCGACGACGGTCGATGGGCAGCGCGGGCTGGCTGGGTGCTGCTTGACCTTGCTCGGTGGCTTTGACCGCGTGGGGGCATTCGGCGCGGGGCTGTGCTGGGTTGGCTGGCCTTGGCCTAACCTGGCCTGGCCTGGCCTGCCGGGTGCATGGGCCTCCGCGACCCTGAAATTTTCCGTGCGGCTTGGCTGCTTGGCTGACCCGCGCTGCGTGGCCTGGAAGCCTGCCTGCCTGCCTGCCTTTGGCCGGCTTTGGCCCTGGTGCCTGCTGCTGCTGTCATGGCCGAGGGCGGGAAGCACTTGGCAGGCCAGGCCAGGCCACGCCAGGCCACGCTTCCTCGGCGAGCTCGACAGCCAAGGCCGACGCAGCGACCGACCGAGCTGCCTTGGACCCCTCGTCCCCTCGTCAGTCGGGCCAACCAACACCTTCCACGGCCGTCACCCGCGGCACTGCTACCACCACGCCGTCGCCCTTCAAAACCACCATCTCTGCCTCGTTTCACTCCCATCTCCTTCGCTCCTTGCCACCAACCCCCACAAGCTACCACCTCACAACCAGCACGCCTCGAAACCTCGCCCGCAGACCCACCTTGGACCAGCACAACCGCAACCACCGCGCCGGATCCATCATGGCCTCGCTCGGCCACACAGAGGCCAGCGTCAGGTCAAGGGCGCACCAACAGCACCACCACCAACAACAAGATGGCACAGACCTTCCTTATCCTCCCGCAGACCGCTCCTCGTCCCTCTACGCCCCATCTCCTCCCTCGGCTGGCTCCGAGTTCGACAAGGGAAAGGCCGCCCGGCTCAACGCCAATCAGTCCATCTCCGGCAGCACCGGCCTCGGTCTCGGCATCGGCGCACAGCCCGGCTCAGGTGCAACCGTACGCTCCATCGCCAGTGCAGAGTACCGCATCATCGCCGCCCTCGTCGTCGTCGCCCTCGCCGTACGCCTGCACAAGCTCGCACAGCCCTCGAGCGTCGTCTTTGACGAGGTCCACTTTGGCGGGTTCGCCTCCAAGTACATAAAGGGCCGCTTCTTCATGGACGTACACCCGCCCCTCGCAAAGCTCCTCATCACCCTCGCCGCATGGCTCGGCGGCTTCAACGGCCGCTTCGACTTCAAGGACATCGGAAAAGAGTACCTCGTCGGCCCAGACACGCCCGTCCCCTACGTCGCCATGCGCGCCATCAACGCCCTCCTCGGCGTCGCCACCGTCCCCATCGCCTACCTCACCCTCCGCGGCCTCTCGCTCCGCGCCAGCACCGCCATGCTCGGCGCCATCCTCATCCTCTTTGACAACGCCCTCACCATCCAGAGCCGCCTCATCCTCCTCGACTCGGTCCTCGTCTTCTTCACCGCCCTCACCGTCCTCTTCTGGGTCACGTTCTGCAACGAGGAGAAGCGCGCCCCCTTTAGCCGCCGCTGGTGGGCCTGGCTCAGCCTCACCGGCCTCAGCCTCGGCGCCGTCGCCAGCTCAAAGTGGGTCGGCCTCTTTACCATTGCCACCATCGGCGTCAGCGTCATTGTCCAGCTCTGGGAGCACCTCGGCGACACCCGCCAGCCCGTCAAGGCCGTCGCACGCCACTTTTTCGCGCGCGCCGTCTGCCTCATCGGCCTGCCCGTCCTCGTCTACCTCTTCACCTTCTCCATCCACCTCACCCTCCTCCACCGCAGCGGCGACGGCGACGGCTTCATGAGCTCCGTCTTCCAGCACACCCTCCACGGCCACGGCATGCACAACACCTACGCCGACGTCGCCCTCGGCTCCACCGTCAGCATCCGCCACCTCCACACCCAGGGCGGCTACCTCCACTCGCACCCCTCGGTCTACCCCGCCGGCAGCGGCCAGCAGCAGATCACCCTCTACCCGCACCGCGACGAAAACAACGAGTGGCTCATCGTCAAGGCGCCCGGCCCCGAGGACCCGGCGCCCGAGGTCGACGACAAGGGCCACCCGCTGCGGCCCACGGACGAGGTGACGCGCCACCACGTCGAGCCCATCGAGTTCCTCAAGCACGGCATGGAGATCCGCCTGCTCCACCGCATGACCGACAAGCGCCTTCACAGCCACGACAACCACCGCCCACCCGTCACCGAAAGCGACTACCAGAACGAAGCCACGGGCTATGGCTTCGAGGGCTTTGGCGGTGACGCCAACGACAACTTCCACGTCGAGATCTTTGAGGGCACCAAGGGCGACCGCGCCTCGTCGTCGCGCGTCCGCTCGCTGCGCACCCACTTCCGGCTGCGCCACACGCTGACGGGCTGCTACCTCTTCTCGCACAAGGTGGTGCTACCCGACTGGGGCTTCGGCCAGCAGGAGGTGACGTGCAACAAGAACCCCACCATGCCCAACTCGCTGTGGTACGTCGAGACCAACACCCACCCGCTGCTCGCCGAGGCCCACGAGTCGGGCGCGTCGCCGGCGCCCGAGATGGTCAACTACCTGCGCCCCTCGTTCCTCGAGCGCTTCTGGGAGCTGCAAAAGGTCATGTGGGAGACCAACGCCGGCCTGACGGAGCGCCACGTCTACGACTCGCGCCCGCAGTCGTGGCCGCTGCTGCGCCGCGGCATCAACTTCTGGACAAAGGACCACCGCCAGATCTACCTCGTCGGCAACCCGCTCGTGTGGTGGGCGTCGACGGCGTCGATCCTGGCCTACCTGGCGGTGCGCGCGCTGCTGATGCTGCGCGCCAAGCGCGGCCACCGCGACCTGAGCGACAGCAAGGTGTCGTTCTACGACCAGACGGCAGGCTTCCTCACGCTCGGCTGGGCGCTCCACTTCCTGCCCTTTTTCCTCATGCACCGCCAGCTCTTCCTCCACCACTACCTGCCCGCCCTCTACTTTGCCATCCTGCTCTCGGCGGTGCTCTTTGACTTTGCCACGTCGACGCTGCGCCCGCGCTTCCGGCTGGTGGCCATGGCCGTCGTCGTCGTCGTCGTGCTGGGCGGCTTCCTCAAGTTCACGCCCATCACCTACGGCGGCGAGTGGACGAGCCAGGCGTGCGAGGATGCGCGGTGGCTCAAAGGTTGGGACTTCAACTGCCGCGACTACCCGACCGACCTGGCCAAGTTCAAAGACTACCCGCCGGCCATCAAGAGCGAGGCGGTGCAGCACCACGGCTCCGCCGCGTCGCGCACGTCGACGAGCGCGGCGGCGATGCAGGGCGTCGGGCAGGCCGAGGCGGGTCGACACGCGTTCGAGGTGGCACCGGCGCAGGCGCACCAGTCGGGACACGGCATCGCCGGCGGCGGCGTGGGCGACATCGTGGCCGAGAAGCTGCAGGGGTTGAAGCAGGAGCTGGTGGACGAGTACCAGCTGGTCAAGGAAAAGGTCATGGGCGGCGGCGGCCATCACGAGCATCCCGCTGATGCTGCTGCCGCTGCTGCCGCTGCTGCCAGTGGGGGCGTTGGCGGGGAGCAAGTGGGCAAGATGGAAGGAATGGACCAGGACAAGGTGCAAGACGTGCTTCTACACGGTACAGCCGCTGTGGTGGGTGGGAGCGATGCTTCCACGACAGCGGCGGGCGAGGGGGGCAAGGAGGGGGAGGGAGTGGCGCGACCGAGCGACGTGGCGAGAGTGGACGCGCATGCCGTCCAAGAGGCCCACGAAGCCGCCCAGGTCGTAGAGGCCGACCGTGCCGAGTCGCCAAGAGACGATTGAGGGCCCCGTCCTGGCCTTCCTTCTCCCCCCTTTGTTCTCTCGGATCGAGGAGTCGGTTTGTCCGAATTGGATTCGCAAGGCGGACGAGGGAGGGGAGGGGAGGGGGGGGTCCATCGCGAGGCCGGATCGGGTCGGGTCGGGTCGGGTCGGGTCGGGTCGGGTTGGACTGTCCAGGAGGGGGTACGAAGGCAAGGGGGAAGGGGGAGGGGGGACAAGGTATGGACAAGGATGGATGGATGGATGGATCGAAGACCGACTTGGCCGTACGCGCCCTCTCTCTCTCTCTCTCTCTTTTTACACACACACACGCTCTCTCTCTCAATCTCTGTCTCCGACCCCTTGCCAGTCCCACCTCGCCCTCTCACACACACACACACTCTCTCTCTCTGCCACAAACGTGACACACTGCACACCCTCGTTTCCAGACCAGTCGCCCCATTCGATTTACGGACACGAAGCGCTCGCCTACCCACGCGGGCCTACTGCAGCCGGTTGACGGTATCGGCCTCGGCGAGGAGCTTCTTGAGCTTCCGCACGAGCTTCTGGCGCTCGCCGCCGCCGGGGGCGTGGTCGTCGCTCATCTCCCTCACGCACAGCTCGACGTCCTCGGCGCCCGGCCCCTCTGAGCCATCGATGCCGACGCCGCCGCGGGCCTCGACGTCGTCCCGGACCCTCTGCACGGCCGGGTGCCGGTTGAGGCCCTGCATGACGGCCCACTCCCAGTGGTGGATCGCGTGCATGGCCGACGCGCGCGATGCGCAGTGCGTGCCGACGTAGAAGCGCTTGGCGCGCCGGTTCTTGTCGTCGACGTCCGACTCGGCGAGGTTCTCGCCGTCGGCGCTGCGGTCCGACTCCGACGAGCTGTCGTCGTCGCTCCGCGGCTCGCGCTTGCCGAGCGTCTCCTGGTCGTACCGCCGGCCCTCGAACCGCACGAGGTGCGAGCAAGCTTGGTTGCGGCGGTGGCAGGCGCCGCAGCCGCGCTTGGCCAGGCCGCCAATCTTGCGGATCTCGTCGTCAAAGACGAGCTTGATCGTCACCTTGGGGTACTCGCGCAGGTACCACGAAAACTGGCGGCGCATGGCCGACGACGTCAGCGCCTCTTCGGCCGAGCGCATCTTGTTCCGGAGCTGGCCGCGGCCTCGCTCGAGTCGCTCGCGGTCCTCGGCCGAGACGTTGCCAAACGGGATGAGCATCCGGACCACGGCCCACTCGATCCACAGGCCGCAGAGGTCCTCGAACTCGAGGCGCGCGTGCCCGAGTCCGAACGCCGCAAGGACGCCGCCGCCGCCGCTGCCGAGGCCGCCGGCCAGGTGGAGGCGCCGCCGCAAGCCTGATGCCTTGGCCGCGTCCGCCTTGCTGGTGCGGATCTTTTTGCCGTCCTCGGTCTCGACGAGGTCGTCGCCGACGATAAAGTCTTCTGGGTCCGAGCTGGCGCCGTTGTCGCTGCTGGCATCTTCAATTTCGCTGCTCCACTCGGACGGCGTCGAGGATTGGTCGTCGACGGCGTCGTTGATGCGCGGCGCTTTGCTGCTCGTGCGCGGTGCGCTCGACCCCTTGTGCCTCTTCTTGTCCTTGCCCTTGGCCTGAGCCTTGGCCTTGGCCTCGGTGGCACTGCTGCGCCTTCTGCGATCGCCGTCAGATCCTGAGACCGACGAGCCGAAGAGGCTGGTGTGGCCGGACGCGTCGCTGTCGTCGTCGTCGTCGTCGCTGTCGTCGTCGGAGCCGGACGCGGTGTCGTCATCGTCGTCGTCTTCGCTACCGAGCAGCTCCCTCCTTCTGCGCAGGCGCTCGCGGTCCTTGCGCATCTTTTCGAGGTGCTTGCGGAAGTCGGCCTTGTGGGTCGATCCCGAGGAGCGGGCGAGCGCGTCGTCGTTGAGGTAGGACTTGAGGTTGGACACGTCGTCGCCATCGTCCGAGTCGTCTGGCTCGCTACCTCGGCTTGCGCGATCGCGCCGCTGCTTCTTCTTCTTGCTTCGCCCTTCCCGGTCCAGCCGCTGGGATGCCTTGCCTTCGGCGCGGTGCTTGCTCTTGCTCTTGCCCTTGTGCGTTGACGACGACGACGACGAGGGCGCCGCTTTGCGCTTCGACGACGACGACGATGTTGGCGGCTTCTTGGAAGGGTGACGGCTCGAGTCCTTACGCGACTGCGACTTGGAGGCACGCGGGCCCTGGTCGTCGGAGCTGTCGTGGACCGGGATCTCGACGACGGGCTTGGGTGGCTGGGGCGCCCGCTTGATCTTGGCGATCGAGAAGCCGCCCGTATCCGATTCGGGGTCCGACATCCTTGGAGGCTTGATCGCGACCTGTGGCGATGGGCGGTGGGCGCTTTTGGACGGGCAACGTGCGATGGAGAGGTCGTCGTCGATAAAGATGTACTCTGTCTTGCCGCGCCGCCGTGGCGGTGGCGGGATCTCGACCCAGCAGACGAACTGTGATGGCGAGGAGGGCGGAGGGCGTCGGAAAGAGGGTGCAGTGGCGGTGGCTGAGGTGGTGGCTGAGGTGGTGGCGGCGGCGGCGGCGGTGGGAGAGGTAGATGCGGTGGTGGTCAAGTCGATGGGAGAAGATGAAGGACCCCGTCGGAAGAGGGGCTCGGCGGCTGTGGTGACGGGCGAGGAGGGCAGCCGCAGAGAGCGAGAGGAGCGAGAGGGACGGAGGGTCGAGGCGGAGGTGGATGCGGTCTTGGTGGTGGTGGTGGCGGCTGGGGCAGAGGTGCGGCCCGCCTTGCGCTTGCGCTTGAGTGGAGTGGGCATCTTGGGCGTGGGTCGCGTCGAGGCCCGAGCGGCGAGGGCCACGCAGCGCCAGAAGCAGGTAGGGGAGCGGCGCTCGTACGTCTGCCTGCCTTGCGAAGGGCCACCTGCCTGCCTCTCTGTCTCTCCCAGCGTTCAGCCGGCTTGGCTCCGCTCCTCGGTCCTACACGTCTGACGGCTGCGCCTGTGCGGCTGCAGGCAGGGTCAGGCCAGGCCAGTCGGACCAAGTCCATTTAGACAGGGTCGGACAGCGGGGCGCGCGTGCTGGTTGGACAGCCTAATCAGCGCCCAGTCGCCTGCCTGCCAGCCTGCCTGCAGTCGCGAGCGGATGCGGACGGTGGGCGTGGATGGCGCGCGGCGCTTGCCTGCCTGCTTGCCTGCCTGTCTGCCTGTCTGCCTGGCAGACCGCACCCGAGCGTGGTCGAGCGTGGTCGGCAGAAGATGGGCAGGGAGCGGGCCGGCCTGGCTCCGGTCTCTAGCCTGCTATTCGTTTGCTTGGATGTTGTTTGCTTGCTTGCTTGCTTGGTGAGGCGCAGTTCTGCCTTGGTCGCTGTTGATCCTGGCCAAGCAGAGTGGCTGGCTGGCGGGCGGCCTGGGTGGCTCGGGCCAAGTCTCGCTCGCTTGACGAACAGTCTATCTATCTGTTTGGGCCTGCTGCGCTGTTGCACAAGCAGCAGGCAGGTCGCGTCGAGCGGCCGACGGTCTTGGCCGGTCCTGCTTCGAGCTCCTCTCTAGCTTCTAGGCTTCCGTCGAGGGGCGGCGCGGCGGTGCAGGCCAGGGTCGGGTTCCGCGCTCTCTATCTCGTCTCTTCTCTAGCCCGCACAGGCGACCTTGGTTGTGGCTGTGGTTCGTTCGAGCTTGTCTTTGGTCGCCCTCCGCTTGGTCTCAAAGGGGATCGGACGGCGAGGATTGCGGGCTAGCCGGGACCGGGCAGGGTTGACGGTCCGGTCGGGTGTTTGCAGGGAATGATGGTGTTGAGGCTCCCTCGAGGGCGGGGCGAGCCACCTGTGCGCCGTGGAGCGTGTTGCTTGCTGCTTGCTGCTTGCTTTCTTGCTTGCCCCCGACGGCCCAACGCTTTTTGAGCCGATTTCCGGCCGCCTTTTTGGTGGGCGGCTGTCCTGGGCCACGACGACGCACAGACGCACAGGCAGGCCCGGCTCGAGGAGGAGGCCAGGCTAGCACGGCCTACACGGTTAACCGCTTGCTTGCTCCACACGCGGCCTGGCCGACTCTGTTGCCGCTCTGGCCGACCTTCTCTTTCTTTCCCCTCTCTCTTGGCCGAAACCAACACCAACTCCTGACGCTCTTTTGCTCGCTTGCGTCCCGCCTCGTCGTCCACCATCCTCGCCGTGGTCCACTCGTCGTCGTCGTCCGCCCCTCTGCATCGATCCCTCACCTCCTGGTCGGCGCGCACCTGTCCTGTGGCCAACCCGCTCCTGGTGGCGTACCTCCGACGCACATGTCGACCCGCTACGGCCGGGGGCCCTACGCCGCTTCATCGACCCCATCGACGTCTGCAGCGGCCATGGCCGGCTTCCCATCCTCGTCATCCGCATCCTCGTCGTCGGCAGTGTCCCCTCATCTCGGCCAGACACGCTCCCGCACCCTCCTCTTCCTCTCCTACCGCGACACGGCGGCCCGCACCACAAAACGCCCATCCGGCCCCTCGTCGAGCCTCTACTTCCAGGCGCCCTACACCGACGGCGACGGCGACGACGATCACGACCCGCTCCACGCGTCGAGCGTCAACAACGGCGAGCAGCAGGGCCTCCTCGGTGGCTCCTCGCCGTCCTCGGCACGCAACAGCCACGATCGGCCGCATACCTCCATCGAGCTCGGTGCGACGTCCGACGATGGCGGCTCCGAGCTGCCGCCAAAGTGGATGGACATCTCGGACCAGGTCGACGCCATCCTCGCAAGCATACGCCCGCGCATGGACTCCCTCTCCCGCCTCCACGAAAAGCACCTGCGGCCCGGCTTCACCGACAAGTCGGCAGAGGAGAAGCAGATCGAGGCATTGGCCCTCTCCATCACACAAGACTTTCGCAGAAGCTCGAGGCTCGTCGCCGGCCTCGCCTCCTTCACCCAGCACCTCATACGCGAGGCAAAGAAGGGCAACTCCTCGACCACCGTCCGCCAGATTGCCCTGGCACAGAACGTGCAGACGGCGCTCGCCACCAGGGTACAGGACCTCAGCGGGGCGTTTCGCAAGCAGCAGAGCCTCTACCTGCGCCGCATGAAGGGCATGGAGGTGCGCGATCGCGACATCCGGGCAGCGCAAGGGCTCGCCACCGGCGGGACCAGCAGCGCCTCCGCGTCGACGAGCGCAAGGGAGCGCAACGAGTTTCGGGACAACGAGATGGCCGTCCGAGAAGACATGGAGCTGGTGAGTGGCACTGGGACGAGCGAGCATCCGGCCCTCTGCGGCGCCTGCCGAGCGGAGCGGGTCGGAGCGGTGGCGAGTGCGTGCGTGCGACCCTGACCTCGGAACCTCTCGAACGCCCGTCTGCGTCTGTCGCTCCCCTCGTGCGCGCAGTCACGGACGGCCTCGATGGCAGCAAAGGGCCAATCGCAGCAGGCGCAGGATCTCGTCGTGCTCGAATCATCGACCTCGACGGCGGCGGATGCCGAGATAGCGCAGCGCGATCGCGAGATCACTGAGATCGCCAAGTCGATCCAGGAGCTGGCCAACCTGTTTGGCGACCTGCAGACGCTCGTCATTGACCAGGGCACGATGCTGGACCGGATCGACTTCAACGTCGAGCTCATGAGCCGCGAGATGGAGGGCGCGGTCAAGGAGCTCGAGGTGGCGACCGGCTACCAGCGGCGCACGGGGCGGCGGCAGTGCATCCTCTTTCTCATCCTCTGCATCGCGCTGCTGGTCGCCATCCTCATCATCAAGCCGTTCTGGAGGTTCTTTGCCGCAGGCGGTGGTGCCAGCCCGCCATCGGTGCCCGCCCCTCCGCCAGCACCATCCTCGTCCTAGCAGAGCAGGCGGCTTCACCGCGGGGCTCATCTGAGCGGCGGCCCAGAGAATAGATCGAACATGCTGCCAGAGGCGATGCGACGCCGGACACGAGCGGCAGGCTGTGGCAACAAACGGGCGTGGCTTGGCAGACAAGGGACTGCGTTGATTGCGATCGATGTACGAGGAAGCGGCCGACTAACGCCGCCTGGGCAAAGCTTCTATGACCGCGCCGCGCCACCGAGCTGGTGCGACGAGGGATGCAGGAGGGGTTGGATTTCGATTCAGCAATCCACGACCAGTGTCGAGCGCCGCAGGTCAAGCTCAAGCTGCTGCGACGACTCACCATGATGCTCTCCATTTCCTCGTCTCCGAGCACGAGGGCGGGCGTCCTCCAGAACCTCTCGGGCAGCAGATGCGTGTCTTCTGCCACCTCGCGTCCGCTCATCGAGATGTTGCCCAGCAGACCGCTCGACGAGCCGGCGCCGCCCGCCGCGCTCGACGATGACGATGACGATGCCGAGGCCGAGGCGGTGTCGTTGAGTTTGGACGGGTCAAAGTGCGGGCCGCTCTCGTAGGCCTGCTGGAACTTTTGGAAGTTGTCGGCGACGTTGGGTGGTGCGGCGGGGTGCGGGTGCGGGACGTGTGCCTCTGCGTTGCGACGAGGAGGGGTGGGCGGCGAGGGGGAGCAAGGAACGACGGGCGGGGGTCAGTCGGACGGGGTCCACGAAGGCGTACGCTGGCCAGACGGATTCCTCCCCGCTCGTCTGCTATCTCTTTGGAGGCCACTGCTGCTCACCTTTGGGCGCCTTGCGATCCGGGAAGCGGAATCCAGGCTTGTGGACGTGGGCGCGTCGAACCAGCGTCCTGAACATGGCGGCGATGGTCGGTCGGTCGAGTCAGTTGCTAGTGGGAGTGGCCTAGGACGGGTCGAGCCGTTCAGAGGTCAGGACGCCGTGTCGGTGTGCGAGGTGTGCAGTACCGTAGAATGTGTGCGTTGGGAAGGTTGGGTGGGTGCGTTGCTGGTAGAGGAAAGGCGGTGGGAGCTAAAGGCAGATGAGAGAGATGCAGACAACGACGTCGACGTGGTCGATTGGCCTCGACCTCGACCGAGCTCGAGTTGGGCTGGGAACTGTCCGCTGGCCTTGGCCCAGTCTCTTGCGCCCGACTTGCGCCGACCCGGGCAAACGGCCAAAAGGTTCCAGCTCGTCCCTGCTCGACTTTGTGGAGCAGACGGCGGCAGGCGTCTGACGTCGAAGATCGGATGCCGCTCAAAGTGGATCGGGGAAAAAGGGTCCGATGAAGCTAGACCGGCCCGATGCGAAGACGACACGCGTCGGTGGCCTTTGCGTGTTGGTTCGAGGGGCCAGGCAGCCCTCAGTTGTGGAGGAGCCAGGACGGACAGCGCGTCGTAGGGGTCACCTCCTCCCACCATCATTCTCTGTTCCTCTCTGCACCCACCGCCATCCCTTGGCAGCGCTACACGGCCACGTTGGAAAAGGTCCAGGCAGCACATCCCCCTGCCCGCTGATAGTGGCACATCCATCCACGACTCTGGCCAACATCGCCCGCCCGAGCGAGCGATTACGCGACCTGCGCCGATGAGCTGCATCCCGACCAACGACCAGGACCGCCGCGATGATGGCGACGGCCGCTCCCTCGACCCCGCATCCTCGTCTGCCGCACTCTCAGCGGTAGACGGCGATGCCACCAGCCTGTATCAGTACGTCCTTCGGCACAAGGTGTGGGGCACCAACCTCGACCCGCCGGAATCGGCCAAGAACGTCATCAAGCCCTGGGACCAGCGCCTCTCGACCACAGAGAGCGTGCAGTCCAACGTCGACGACCAGCTCACCATCACCGTCCCATTCACGTGCCTGGTACGCATCAAGTCGATTATGATCTACACGGGCACCGGCGACTTTGCCCCCACCCGCTGTCGCGCCTTTGTCAACCGCCCGGACGGCATCGACTTTGACGAGGCAGACGCTGCCACCGCAGACACCCACCCGGCCGGACAGCCCGCCACGCGCATCGCATCCACCCTCGGCGCCGTCGGCAGTGGACGGGCGCAGGCCGACTTTGCGCTGCTCCAGGGCCAGGACGGCGTGGTCGAGTACCCGGTCAGCGTCGCCCGCTTCTCGTCGACCAACTCCGTCACCCTCGTCCTCAGCCACTCCAACTCCACCACGCTCTCGCGCTTCTTCTACCTCGGCTTCCGCGGCACCGCGCTCCAGCTGTCCAAGGATCCCTCGGAGAAGCTCGACATCGCCGCGGCCAACGCTGCAGATAAGCCCGTCGATGGTGTGCGAGAGAAGCGCACGGCCAGCCACGGCCTGGCGGGCGGCAGCGGCTCGCGTCCATCTCCGCGCTACGCAATCTCCGACAAGGAGGCCGCCCGCAGGATCGTAGAGATGACCCACACTAGTCCACAGCGCAGGCGGACGAGCAACGTTGCGCCCAACACCACACCGCGCAAAGGGCGGTCATCCAGAGGCGGCGGCGCCGCTGCCCAACCTTCGCCCGCTCCTGGCGGCGAAGGCTCAGCAGCAAACGCGTCGACCGCCGACGATCGCACCCGGAGGCGCTCGCTGTCGCAGCCTCCGCCTGCTGACACTCTGTTCCGCCAACTCCATCAGCAGCAAGCCAAGGAGCAGCGGCAGCAACAGCCGCGGCAGCAAGGTGGGACGATGGGTGGGGCTGGGCCATCGCTGCTGCGTACACCCGGAAAGCCGGCAGTGGCCAAGACGCCGCTGCGATCGACGACCAAGGCCGGCACCTCGGCCACTCCAGGCAAGCGGGCTCTGGGAACGCCGCATCGGCCGGGGGAACAGTCCATCGGCAGCCTGGCGCAAACGCCCGCCACCGAAATGCGCAAGAAGCGCAACGACGCGCTGATGGCGAGCGCCCAACGGACTCGCGAGAAGCGACGCCAGAGCACATGGGGCCTTGGAGGTTGGGGCGGGGGCCGGGAGGAGTCGCCATTCGACCTGTTGCGGCGGCTGGCTCGCGCGCCCGGCTTTGTTGCGCCACCCACGCCTCAGCAGGCTGCGGATGCCGCCAAAATGCCGCCTCCGCCGCCCGGCTCGGCCGCTGCAATCGCTGCCGCGGCTGCAAGGAGAGCCTCATCGTCCTCCGCCGCCGCCACCGAGCTGCCAAGCTTCGCAGGGCAAAGTATCGGGGCGGGCGGGAGGAGCTCCACCTCGGGACGGCAGAGCAGCATGCTTCGACCGGGAGAGAGCGTCCCGGGCGATCTCACGCGCGATAGCGATGCGCTCGAGCGCAGCGCCGATATGGACGACTCGCGAGACGCGTCCGAGAGCTCTTCGAGCCTCGCGCCTCCGGGTATGGCCGACGCATCGCTAGCCTCGGACGCCGGAGCTGCGCGGAGAAAGTCGCTGATCCGCGGCGGCATCTTTGCGGCGCTCGCAGAACGGGGCAGAAGTGCGTCTGCGAGGGCCTCGGACGCGGGCTCGCGCCTGTCGCTGGGGACAGCGGGCGATATTTCGGCGCTCTCGGCGGCCACCTCTGGCCTCGGAGGCCTGCGAGAGCACGAGCTGGAAAAGTCGCTCGCGATGTCGCTGGGCGACCTCGACGACAGCAGCCTCGTCGAGTCCTCCCGCGATGGAGGCAGCCTCGATGTCGCCGAGGCTCGTGCCATCGAGCGGCTCGACGAGCTGACGCGTAGGAGCCTCTTCAGCAACGATGGCGGGCTTTCGCTCGGACCCGATGAGATCACCGACGAACGGAGCAGGGATCGACAGATGAAGTGAGTGCTCGGGTGCCATCCGACGATACAGCCAGACCTGTGCAGCTGACTCTTTCTTGGCTCTCTTCGTCTCTGTCGCAGGAGCTTTATGCGGTCGATGTCGGAGCCTCTGCAGGTCGACGATGGCGGCGACGACGAGACGGGCGACTACAGCTCTGTGCTCGCAGATTACGGCGCGGGCCTCGATGCGCCCGATGGTGGGGAGGCCACCGTCGACGAGCCGTCCATCGCCAGCTCGACGGATCGCACCAAAGGTTCTGCGGCCGATCAGTCCCTAAGCCGGGTCACCATTGCCGAGGAGGACGAGGACCAGAGCGAAGCTGTGGACGAGAGCCGCGTCACCATTGGCAGCACGGATGCTGGAGGAGTGTCGTCCGAGGTGTCGCGTGCCGGACTCGACGCCGACGACTCGGCCAGCCGCCTGCAGGACCGCTCCGCGATGTCAGACTCGCGGTCTCGGACCAACATCGTCAGCGACATGGGCGATGTGTCGAGCCGGAGCGCGCCGAGGGGTGCGCTGTCGGACGAGGAAGGCGTCGACGACGACGAAGCCGGCTTCGAGACGGCGGGGTCCGACGTGGACCAGGACGAAGGCAGCGGCGCCGAGGGCGCCGCCGACGTGCGCAAGCTCGACCTCATGGATCCAAAGGACCTCAATGCGCTGCTCAAGAGGCGCATCGTGCGGAAGCGCAAGGCGCGGGTGTCGCCCTACACGGGCGACGCGGTGCCGCAGCTGCCGGTGTCGACGATCAAGGACCTGTTCACGGCCTTCCTCAACCCGAGCGCGGACACGCAGACGTCGGCTTCGCTGCTCGGCTCGACGTCGGGCAACGGCCGCCGGACGCGCAACAAGCTCGACCAGACGACGCTCGAAGAGGTCGAGGAGGCGGCGCACGACTTTTTCGGCTCGTTTGCGCAGCAGCTGCAGCAGCAGGCGCGGGCGCGGACGCGGCGGCGCTCTGGAGGCTCGGAGTCGGGCGTGACCATGACCGAGGTCGATGTGCTGGCGCTGCTCAAGCAGCAGGGCCACGTCACGGCGCGGTCGGACATCACGTCCCTGGCGCACCGGCTGCTGCCGCGCGAGGTGCAGGACCAGATGAACCTGCCCAAGTTTGCGGGCGTGCGCACCGAGACGGCCACGCCGAGCATCCGGACCATGATGGCCAGCGTTGGCGGACCGAGGGCGACGGCGGCGGCGGCGGCGGCGGCGGCGGGATCACGTGCACCCGGCGGCGGCGCCAAGCGTGCGAGGCAGGCGGTGGACGAGGACGAGGACGAAGCCGTTAGCTCGACGGGGTCTGGCTCAGGGTCCGACGATGTCGACGACGACGACAGCGAGGACGACGAGGATGCCACGTTGGAAGATACGGCGAGGTCGCGCAGCATCCGACGGGGCGCCGCTGGGGCCGCCTCTGCCAAGAAGGCCAAGACGTCCAAGGCGCCTCGAACACCTGTAAGGCGACCTGCCAGCGCCGTGCGGCGGTGAGAGCTAGGGTGAGGGAGAGGGGAAGAGGCGGGGGAGGGCATCCTCGGTGTTGTTCAGTACTGGCAGGAGGCATGCGAGCGAGCCTGACCGGGAAGCACTGAAAGAAGGCCCCCAAACTCCGCTCCGATTGACAGTCATGCGCCTTTCCATATGCGGTGTCGATCCCGAATGCCATTCGTGGTGGTGATTTGCTACTCGGCAGCGGTTAGGTTAGGCCAAGCTATCGGTATCGGTAGGGCAGACATCTAGGCCGACTCGACTGGCGACTGGAGCAGCGTGTGGTTTCGACATCCCCCACTCTCGCTCGCTCGCTCGCTCGCTCGCTGTTCCCACGTACATGTCTCTGCCAAGGCGAGGTGTATGACGGAGGAGGGATGGGGATGGGGACGGCGGATGGTCTGAGACGGTACCTCGTTGACTCGAGCGTTCCGACGGTTCGGCTCGGTCTCGTCTTTCTGCTTGATGATGCCAGAGACAGAGAGAGGGAGGGTGGACGAGGTGAGGATGTCAATGAAAGCCGAGAACCTGTCTGCCTGCCTGCTGGCCAGCCTCTGTTTGCTCTGGGGGTGATGGGCTTGCTTTGCTTTCTCTGCTGCTGTGGCACCGAGTGGCGCGTCGCTGGACCGCGGCCCCCTGGCGGAGGTCGCGAGTCTGTGAGGTGCTTCCGTCGGGACGGAGGTGGGTGCATGCGAGCTGTCAAGCAACGAGTAGTCGCGGCCAGGCCAGGCCGGCCGGGCCGCGAAAACGTGGCGCGCGACGCCGGAGGTCTGGCCCCCCCGCCTGAGCTTCGGAAGCTCAAATCCAACCAAGGTTGGCAGCCAGACAGGACCCGCTCACGCCTCGCGCTCCGCTCCGATCCGTCCGCCGTTGCTGGCTGCCTCCTCCGGCCTCCTCCTTTTCCGCCCCTTTTTGCTGTCTAGCCACCACCACCACCACCAACACCGACACCGACACCGACACCGACACCTTCAACCCCAACTCTCAACTCCGCGGGGGCACTCGCCGGGTGGCTCTGTAAACATCGCGGCTGGTCGAGCTCGCACGCGATATTGGCACCTCGTGATCCTCGCGGCCCGTGACCACCTCCTCGCTCCCCTCTGCCCCGCCCACCCTGTCGGGAACACGCCTGTGTCTCTCTTCCTGCGGATGCCTGCCCTCCCGACCTCGGACCTCGTCGGCCGCTCCGAGGACTGCGCCGTCGTCCGGATGCGTCGCGTTCGGATCCCGATCAGCCTCCCTCCTTAGGCTGCCCTCCCTCCGCTGCCCCACTGGACCAAGGTCCGATGGCTCTCGACGGTAAACACGCGCCACCCCGCTCTGCCTGGCCCCTCCTCTCCGCCTTGTGGCCGCGCCACCTTGCAATTCCCCCAGGGTGACTCCGCGCAGCTTCCGCACCTGGTACATTGCCATGATGCCCTGTCAAGCTCCGCGACGTCGCTCCGCACCCTTCTTTCCCCGTCCTCGGCCAAGGGCATGATCGACAGGGTCTCGAGTGCAGGCCGCACCCGAACCCGTCAACCAGCGCGACCCGGCCCGCTCTCAGTGGTGACAGGCGCGCGCCATCCTGGCTCGACTGGTCGGATGTTCTCCTCTCGAAGCGTCGTAGTTCAAGCCCAGTCGACGAGGCTTGCAGATCCTCCCTCCTTGACCTCACGCCCACTGTCAAAACGATGCCACTGTTCCGCTTGCGGTCACCGGATGTCAGCCACATCGACACGCCAAGCCCTCCCACGGATCAGGTCGCTGGTGCACTCTGCGGCTCACCGAACACGTCGGACTCGTACCCTCTCGAGGGCTGCAACGCCTCGTTGCCAAGGCTCCTTTCTGCGACATCGATGTTCCGCGCGGCATTTTGAGCTCGAAGTGCGCTTTGGGAAGCCTGAAAGCAGGTGGCTGCGCTTGAGCATCCCTCGACGACGGCGGAAGCCGCGCTCCTCTTCTGGCCGGTCACGGCTGCAGTCAATGCGGGTCTCCTCTCGGATTCGGTGCCCCCGGGACGCGACCTGCGACATAGGACTTGACATTCGCATACCGTACCGCTACTCAGAGGCTTCCGTCGGATGCTCAGCCGGGACGTACGGCCACAACGCTGCTCGAACGCTGCTGGTAAACAATATCCGACATCGGCTTCGACGGCGCTCCTCCGCCCACTAGTCCACCGTCGTTGCGCCCGTGTATGCTGCACGGCACTGACCACTATGAGCGCGTGACCGGGGCCCTAGTCGGCAAGGACGAGGAGCGACAACATCGTGTCGTATAAAGACGGTCGTCGACGCAACGATCCCCGCACTGCCTTTTCTCATCATCCCCTCTATCCCCCTCAAGCACCCCTCCAACCTCCACCTCCCACCCCTTCCAGCAGTCCTGCCGATCCCTTCTCTCCTGATCCCTCCATCACACGACCTTCTCAAGCTTCTACCGAGCCCTTCGACACCGGACCCGCCTTCGCCGAAAAAGGCGCCCCGCTCATCGCCATGCGCGTCTCCCTCGGCGCCGTCGCCAAGGCGGTGCCTCTGGCGACGGCCTTCGCCCTGCTCGCCTTCATTGGCACCCTGCCGGCCGCGGAGGCCGTCCCGAGCCAGCTCTTGGCCCGTACCAGCAACTGCCAGCCCGGTCGCGGAGGTCTCGACTGCAACATCCCATGCGAACCCGGCACGTTCAACGACGGCAACTACCCCTCGTGTCAAAACTGTCCCGCTGGCACCTTCGCAAACTCGTTTGCGGCCGAAATCTGCTCGCAGTGCCCTGCTGGATCCTCGTCCACCGGAGCAGCCTTTTTCTGCGAGTCCTGCGGACCAGGTCTCGTCAACCCGGGCTTCCCGGCCCCATCCGTCTGCACCGCCTGTCCGGCTGGCCAGATTCCAAACGCTGATCACACCTCGTGCGACCCGTGCCCGACTGGCTCCTACTCATTCAGTGGCGACTCCTTCTGCACAAACTGTCCACCCGGCATGTCGACCACGGCGCCGGGCTCCAGCGGCTGCGACCTCAGCTGCTCGCCTGGAAGCTATCTCAACCCTTCCATGACGTGCAGCCAGTGCCCCCCCGGCACCTTCACCAGCCATTCGGCAGCCGCCACCTGCGACGCTTGCCCCATTGGTACATTCTCGCCGTACCCCGGAGCCTCGCTTTGTGCCGACTGCCCCCTGGGCACCTTCTCGCAGAGCCTCGGTTCCACGAGCTGCACAGCATGCGGCCCTGGCTCCTACACGCAGTTCCCGGGAGCAGCCAGCTGCACGGCCTGCCCAGCCGGTACTTTTCTCGACGACGCCTCGATGACGTGCCAGGCCTGCCCCGTCGGGACCTACAACGGCCAGATCGGGGCCAGTATATGCACAACCTGCCCGCCCGGCAGCACGTCGACGGTGATCGGTGCCGTCTCGTGCTCGCCGACGACCCAACCGCTCGGCGGCACCTGCGCAACCGACGCCGAGTGCCAGGGGAACCTCAACTGCATCGGAAGCGTCTGCTCCACGTTCGTGTCCCCCGGTGGCTCCTGCGGCACGCCTGGCAAGATCTGTCTCTTGCCCACGACGTGTCAAGACGGTACCTGCCGGCTCCCGCTTCAGGCCATCGGCGAGCCCTGCGATGGAACCATGGACTGCGTGAGCGGACTCACCTGCGTCAGCAACACGTGTTCGTCCTTTGGCGCGCCTGGCGACGCTTGCGGCTCTCCCGGACATCTCTGCGAGTCGCCCGCCGCCTGCACCACCAGCAACATCTGCGCCATTCCCCTGAAGCCGCTCGGCGAGGCTTGTACCGCCACTTCCGACTGCGAGTCCGGCCTCGACTGCATGGCGGGTGTCTGCTCTACGACCGTCCTTGCAGGTGGGGCCTGCGGCGCTCCCGGGCAGGTCTGCGTTACGTCCACGATGTGCCAGGACGGCATCTGCAAGACTCCGCTCAGGAATGTTGGAGAGAGCTGCGAGGCCAACGCCGACTGCGTGAGCGGATCTACCTGCACCGACAACGTCTGCTCGACTTCTGGCGGACCCGGCGCCACCTGCGGCACGCCCGGCCTTCTCTGCGCTTCCCCGACGACCTGCCAGAACAGCGTCTGCACTGCCCCGTCGACTTCCCCGCCCCTTGGCGCATCCTGCACGACCGACGAGGACTGCCAGCTGGGTCATGTCTGCAACACCGGCACCTGCGCCAACCCTGGGCCGATCAACCAGGTCAGTGGCGGCTTCTGCCTCTTCAACAGCAACTGCATCAGCAACGTCTGCACAAACAACCTCTGTGTCGGTCCTCCGCCGACCCTCCATCCCGTTGGCGGGATCTGCATGATCGACTCCGAGTGCGAGTCCGGGCTCATTTGCGACGTTGGCCTTTGCGCCACCCCTCCGGCCACCCCTCAGCCCGTAGGCGGCGTCTGCACCGTGCGCGATGACTGCGAGGTCGGCCTGATCTGCGCGGAGACCGGCCTCTGCGCCAACCCTCCGCCGACCTTGCAGCCTCTGGGCGGTGCCTGCCAGAACTCTCTCAACTGCCAAGGTGCCCTCGCCTGCCAGGACGGCGTCTGCTCCCAGTTTGCCCAGCCAGGTGAGGCGTGCGACGAGCCAGCGACTGGCCTCCTCTGCCTGGCTCCCGCCACCTGCGAAAACAAGATCTGCACCTCGATCCCTCCCCCTCCCACCGGCAGCCCGCTCGGAGGCATCTGCACGGTTTCCGACGACTGCATCGGCGGACTGTCGTGCCAGGACGGCGTCTGCTCGCAGTTTGGCGATGTCCTGTCGCCCTGCGGACTGCCCTTGACCGGTCTTCTCTGCAAGCTCGACCTCATCTGCACCGACAGCATCTGCACCGCCCCTCCGCCCGCCCCGAAGGCTCTCGGCGAAGCTTGCGCCGCCAGCAGCGAGTGTCTCTCCGCCCTGACTTGCGTCGAAAGCGTCTGCTCCAAACGCGCTAGTGACGGCGAGGCCTGCGGACTGCCTTTGACTGGCCTGCTTTGCGAGGTCGGCCTGGTCTGCACCAACGACATCTGCGCCAGTCCGCCTCCCGCCCGCAACCCGCTTGGAGGCTCGTGCGAGGCCACCGACAACTGCCTCTCGGGCCTGTCCTGCGAGAACAGCATCTGCTCGCAGCGTGCCGGTGCGGGAGAGGCGTGCGGCACCCCCGAGACCGGCAAGCTGTGCAACATCGGTCTGGACTGCACCGACGACGTCTGCACCGCACCCGCCCCGGTCAAGCAGGCCCTGGGCGAAGCTTGCGAGGCCACCGACGCGTGCGTCTCCGGACTGTCGTGCGTCGACGCCGTCTGCTCGCAGCGGGCGTCCCTGGGCGAGACGTGCGGTGCTCCCTCGACTGGACAGCTCTGCGAGACGGGCCTCGACTGCACCGACAGCGTCTGCACGACTCCCGAGCCGACCAGGAGCCCGCTTGGCGGCGTCTGCAGGGTCACTGACGACTGCCTCGTCGGTCTGTCCTGCATCGACACGGCCTGCTCGCAGCGCGTCGGCTCTGGCGAGGCGTGCGACGACGCGTCGACCGGAAAGCTCTGCGACCTCGGCCTCGACTGCCTGAGCAACATCTGCACGCCTCCGGCTCCCGTCAAGAAGGAGCTGGGCGAGACCTGCGCGGCCACCGACGACTGCGTCTCGAGCCTGTCCTGCGTCGACACGGTCTGCTCACAGCGCGCCATGGTCGGTCAAGCTTGCAGCACCCCCTCGACCGGCCAGCTCTGCGAGATCGGACTCGACTGCACGGCCAACGTCTGCACGCCACCGGCCCCTATCAAGAAGCTGCTCGGCGAGATTTGCGCGATCATCGATGACTGCGTGTTGGGCCTGTCGTGCGTCGACACGGTCTGCTCGCAGCGGGCCATGGCTGGCGAAGCTTGCGGTCTTCCCTCGACCGGCAAGCTGTGCGACACTGGCCTCGACTGCACCGACGAGATCTGCACGGCGCCTGCTCCCGTCAAGGCCGCGCTCGGCGAAGCGTGCGCGGCCACCGACGACTGCGTCTCGAGCCTGTCCTGCATCGACGCGGTGTGCTCGCAGCGGGCCATGGCTGGCGAAGCTTGCGGCGCTCCCTCGACTGGCAAGCTCTGCGAGGCGGGCCTGGACTGCACGAGCGATGTTTGCACGGCGCCCGCTCCCGTCAAGGCCGCGCTCGGAGAGACCTGCACCGCCACTGACAACTGCGTCTCCGGCCTCTCGTGCGTAAGCAACATCTGCTCGCAGCGGGCGGCTGCTGGAGAGGCCTGCGGTGCACCTTCGACCGGCAAGCTCTGCGAGACCGGCCTGGACTGCAACAACGACGTCTGCTCGACTCCCCCGCCCAGCAAAAGCCAGCTTGGCGGATCCTGCGCTGCCACCGACGACTGCGTCTCTGGGCTTTCTTGCGTCGATGCCGTCTGCTCGCAGCGTGTCGGCACGGGAGAGGCCTGCGCTGCCCCTTCGACCGGCAAGCTGTGCAACTCCGGCCTCGAGTGCACCGACAACGTCTGCACTGCGCCGACTCCCGCCAAGAGCCCGCTGGGTGGTACCTGCAGCGCCGACGGCGACTGCGAGTCCGGCCTGTCGTGCAAGGGCAACGTCTGCTCTCGTTTCGGCGCTGCGGGAGCCCATTGCGGCGCCGCCTCGACGGGCCTCATGTGCCAGGACGGACTGGAGTGCAAGGACAGCATCTGCACGGCTCCCACGACCAACGGCGGCGACAAGAAGGTGGGCGAGCAGTGTTCGGCGGCGAGCGACTGCCGCCGCAGCCTGGCGTGCTCCAACGGCGTCTGCACGCGCTTCGGGCGCGAGGGACGCGGCTGCGGCGCGCCGAGCACGGGCCGGCTGTGCGAGGAGGGACTGCTCTGCTACAACACGCTCTGCACCGCCGTGCGAATGGTGGGCCGCGGCGACACTTGCAACGAGGTGACGCTCAAGTGCGAGTCGAACCTGCTCTGCATCAACGGCGCGTGCCGCGCGGACCGCACCTGCCCGCGCGGCTGCTCGGCCGATGCGTACTGCCGCGACGGCCAGTGCCGGCCCAAGGGCGAGCTGAGCCAGCAGTGCAGACCACGCCGGCCGTGCCGCGACGGCCTCGACTGCCTCAATGGCGCGTGCGTGCCCATGACGGGCAAGGGCAAGCAGGGCGAGTTCTGCAACGAGGCGCCGCAGTGCCAGTCGGGGCGGTGCAGCTCCAAGCGCAACGTGTGCCTCGCCCCGCTCCGGCCCAAGGTGCACCTCGGCGACAAGTGCTCGAGCGGCGACGACTGCATCTCGGCCACGTGCAAGCGCAGCCGGTGCGTTCCTGGCGCGCACGCGGGCAAACTGGGCCAGTACTGCAACGCCGACTCGCAGTGCAAGTCGCACCGGTGCAGCGACAAGCGCAACGTGTGCCTCGACCCC